GAGCACTCTTTGAGCCTCTTAGTTTAGTCTTGTCAGATCTAGCTATGGTGGCATTTTTGCGAGACTCTCTGGGACTTTCTATTAACGGAAACAGTGGCCTGGCTATCCTAGAAAAGTCTTGTATAAAGGTCCTATAGTAACCTAGAAACTCCAGAAGAGCTCTGACCTCTCCCACATTCTTTGGCTCTCCATCCTTCAAATGCTGAACTGCCTCAAGATTTTTAGGGTCTATTTGGACACCTTCATTAGTCACCAGGCGCCCTAAATACCTGATCTGACTTTTAAATAGCTCACATTTTTTTGGGCGTAGCTTTACACCATGTTCTCGAAGGCGACGGAGTACCCCCCTCAGGTCGTCAATGTGGTCTTGGAAAGGCAAAGCACATCATCCAAGTATGGAGAGCAGCACTCATCCCTGAGACCATCAAGAACTCCCTCCATGCACCTTTGGAATGCTGCCGGGGCGTTGGTTAGGCCAAATGGGAGGCGGATCCACTCATATAGTCCCAAAGGCATGCTAAAGGCAGTCAGATGTCTGGAACTATCATCAACAAAACCCTGGTGGTAAGCACTGCCTTGGTCGAGTATTGGGAACCACGAGTAACCTCCGAGATTATTTAGCAGATCCTGTATGCGTGGAAGAGGGTGGCGGTCAGGAACAGTCTTGCGGTTTAACCCACGAAAGTCAATGCACAGGCGTAAACTTTTGTCTTTTTTCTGACGCAGACCACAGGAGACGAACAGAGGACAGTAAAGACAGTTCTGGCTGACTAGAACTGGCACTTGTATGGTTATATGTCCATGATTCTCACTACAGACTCGGAGTTCAACATCTACCCAACCATCAAAGGGAACATCTGTGCCATTAGCTGCAGCAATCTCTAATGGCTGGTCACTAAGGAGGGATTGCAGTGGCTGGATTTGGATGTTGGGTAGGGCTGTCTCTATCCAGGCTCTCCCCACCATAGTAACCAGAGCCCCTGAGTCGAGCAACATTTGGAGAGGGACTCCGTTGATGGCACATGAAACCATACAGCGCTTTCCTATGAGTTGTGCAAGCCGTTTTTGTGGCAGTGGTGGACACTGTGGTTTTGCTTTGGCCGGGCTGGCTGTGTTAGAGTGGTTGGCTTGCGCTGGGGGCTCTGCGGCTGTCATGATCACTGGCTGCCCCTCTCCAGTGATCTCATCCCGTTTCACGACATATTCCTTCTCAGACAGCCGATGGCACGATGCCCAGCTTGGCCACAAACAAAGCAGTGAGGGCAGCTTACTTTACTCTGTTGTACACAGTCACTGCATCTGCCCCTGGTCTCAGATGGTGGCGGCTGAGGATGGGCTGTTGGTGAGCAGGGGTCCCCCGGTTTCGCACTGTCAGTAGGTTTCACCATCTGGGCCAGATGTTTGGTCAGTGAGGAGACTTGTGCAGTCAGTTCTCTAATAGCGGCACGTACCAGGTTTTATTATCTTTATCACTGTGCGAATGACCTCTGACTCAGTAAAACCTTCTTGCAATCCTTCATCTATTTGTTTACAAAGACTGCTGTATGATATGTCAGAACCCACATCAGAGATTTGTCCACCATGTAACTTAAACTCTCTGCGTGGGAGCAGAGCTGCAACATCACTAAACCTCTGAACTTGTTCTCCCATGCTGGAAGATAGACTCACCCTACCACGGGGAACAAACCCAACACCTGTTTCATGTGACTTGGCCGAGGCTGGAGTGGCATGGTCCCTAACTGGCATACCAGAGTCTCTTCCCATTGGTGCTGGAAGTGTGTGACTGTCTCTGTTCTCTGCCGATGGGTTGGCACGCACATCTACATCCAGTGGAGAAGGTGACAGGTCCTGCAGATCTCTGTCTCCATTCACCAAATGTGTTGGACTACCCATGGTTGGTGAAGTTAGATCTCTGTCTGGTGGGTTGATGTGTTGTTCCCCTCTCAAGAAGTGCAGTCTGGCTGTCTTTAACCGCTCCTGCAGTTAGCAGGTCACTCAGCATGTCATCAAGAAGGAGGAGTTATGCCATACCTGCATCCTCCAGGGCTCCCAATTTCTCACTTCTCACATAGTCAACAATCAGGTCATACAGTTGTGGTTCATTCAGGTCATCAATGTTGTAAGTTGTACTGGTGTCATCAATTGAAGTTGCAACTGCCAGTAGCTTACTTGCACTCAGGTCAGAAAGTCTCTTCTGAATCTTAAAGATCAGCATCCGCCGTGGGGTGACAGTGGCCATTATGACGTTGGACAGGTTGCCTCCGCTCTCTGGATGACGCACTGGGCTGCAGTCTTCCCTGAAGCTTTGGACACAGGTTCACGTCGTCTCGGCACCCACTTCACCACGTGGTGGTGCTAGATCATCCTGGACGAGCCCCCAATTGTTACCAGCACCAGACCTAGGGGAAATCTGGACCAGCAGCAAGGGTTACACAGGCTAGGGAGCACTGTGTAGCCAATACATAAACTGTGGATTGACAGAGAGATGAAGAAAGTTAGCGTCTTGCTCATGCCAGAGCTGGTTTATTTCTGAGCTGCGCATGTGCAGAGCTTGTAGCTACAGTCTCCCTAATGGATCCACAGTAGCACTAGAGTACCACCTGCTGGCGTAATAGTGTACTACCTTAAGTGTTAGAATGAATCAATTATTACAAAAAATAGAGGGGGTGTCTGTTAAACACAAACTTAACATATGGTGTTTTCCAACCCATTACACGCACTTGGCTATGGTGGCTATGGTAATACTATATTTTATGAAATAATTTATTAACTGTATCTTTGTAGTCCAAACAAAGCCGACATTGCACACCCTTAAACCACACAGCAGCCATGTTGAAACTCTCAGGTCAGTCTGATCCTGATCTGCAGAGATATTTGAGCCACACACACAACACCAATGTAGTTGCAGTACAATGTAGATAAAGGGATGCACGATAATTATTGGGGCTGATGAATTATCGTCCAATAAAAAAATTATAATATTATGAATCCTGATAATTAAATTATAGCAGATAAATTACCGGTCAATAATAACAAAAACATAATTGGAATTATACAAAACGATTGGTAGGCTTTATGTTCTAAGACAGTATGATTGGGAAGTTTTTTTAATCTACTTAAATAATGTATATACAGTATATATATAATAATAAATATCAGAATATCAGTCAGAACTGTTATTCTTGTGTTAGCAGTAGTGATGTCAGTGTTTTGGTTAGGTCAGAGCTATGGAATATCAAATCATCCATCTTTGTTTAGTACTTCTCAGCCTTTCTTACCGAGTGTGTAAAATCTACAGGTTATGAACTTACTTTTAAAATGCAAAAATGTGAAATTGTTTATTTTCTTACTGGTATTGGCTATGAGAAGCAGGTCATTATCTGCCCTTTTTTTGTCATCGTATTTGGTGACAAAAAAAATCCATTGCGTGCACCCCTAGATATGAAGCCAGGTGAAGCCGCAGAGTATCTGCTCTTTGCTTGGGTGCAGTCAAAGGCAGCTCAAAGGTATGTTAGCTCATGGGTGAATGGCGTGGCCTGTTAAAGGGCTCAGTAGACTTGTGACAGCAGGTTTAAAACATCAGGAATCTGTACAAACAGGAATCTTTGGCCAAAGGAATTCCTTTTGATAACCTTTCACACATAAGAGGGTGAAAACTGGTTTCAAGTGAAATTTGTGGCGGTACTAAATCCCCAACTCTCAACTCAAAGAAAAGGAGCCTGAGAACCAGAATGAAATAGAGAACTTCTGTCGGCCAACACAGTTTTATTTTCTTTGCAAAGAAAAGGTCAATCAGCACAGGAGCGGTCAAAGATGAAGAAAGACCCTGAAAATGGGGAGATCTAAACATTTATACCTGAGAACCACCTCTTTCACACACCTTTGTCTGCTGTAGGAGTCTGGCCCTCCAGGAAGTGCTTCCACACCCCTCTGCCCACTGCAGGCATCGGGGCCGACCCCCTACTGGTGTGTTTTACATATGAGGTGTCCTGCAGGATCTTGCTTTCAGGTGCAAAGCCAAGTCCAGTCATCACAATCTACAAAACACAAAAGGACCTGGCATCTTGTGTTAGGAAGGGGGAGGTTGGGCATCTGCAGTGGCTGAAACAAAGAAACTGAATCTACCATTACACCAAATTATCCCTTTTGATCTATGTTCCTGACAAATTCTAAGCACTCTGCTAGTCTACATCTGAAATTGTATTGAATTTATTTGTTTATTCTTGACATGTTGTGTAAGTGTTCCATCACACACTTCTTTTTGTAATGCTCTCATCACTCTGTATACCAGACATACAATTTTACTTGTTCTTTAAATACAGTATGCATAAATCTCTTTCTCAAAACTATTCTGAAGTATTGTATATGTATATTGCCCTTGCGATCATGTAAGCATTTCTTTAAACTTCCTCTCCAGACTCACTGAAAAGTATTTCTGAAAATGGGCCGAGATTCTTTATCTACATACAAGAGGAGTTGTCTAGGACATCAAAGGCATACTGTTCTTTGAATTTGCAGAACTGAGCTGTTGATCGAAGAAGAACACCGCAGAAAGGGAAGCCTAAACTTTTCTTCTTCCTATGTAATAACCCTTAAGGCACTTTAAAGTAGAAAGAATGCCATGTGTTTCGAGGTGAACCCATTCACACTGTGTATACAATTCCCAAGTGGCTGGCATTGTTTATTTGTTTAAACCCAGATTGTTTGAAATGATTTAAAGACTATTTTCACTATGTCATTCTTAAAATCACGAAAATCTTTCCAATCAGGATACGTAAGTAGTAAAATCTGTTTTAAAAGTTTAAGGTCTGAAGATGAGCCTTGCTGTGACAGTTCTGATTTGCACCTTTATTATTTGTTGTAGTGTGTTAAAATTCTTGACTCTAGTAAGTGACTGTAAACATGCCCACACTGAGTTGAAGGGAAGGGGAATAAAGGGTAAACACCCAGGAAATGCGAAATGAATTTGGAAGTACAGGGAGGGGCTGGACTTTCATGTCCTATCTGAGACTGATACTCAAATTACAATGGAGACGGAGTTATGCAACAAGAAGAGAGAGGGGAAGGAAAACAGCTTGCTTCACTGGGAAAAATTACAGCAGGAGAAGAGAAGAGAAGTACAACGGAGAAACTAGCGACGATCAGAATGTCTGCTAATCAGGACAAGGTATGTATCTTCGAAGCTACAGTGTACTTTACTTTCAAGTGGAGTTCATTACTTGTTAAACATGTAATGCTGAGCTGATGAGAATGAACTGAAGTATTTTTTAAATGCTATGAATATCTTGTTTCTGTCCTTTTGAGATGACTTGTAGAAGTTACTTTTTAAAACAATCTGACTTCACTATCTGCAACAGACAGTGAACAATGTTGTTTGCATTCCTTACTGCACAATTAAGTGCTGCCACAGCAAGTATCTCATCTTATGATTCTTTTCTCTTCTTGTAAAGGGGGATGTACCTTCTCGACCAGAACTGTTTGATTTCCACGGAGTCTCAATGACCCACTATTTCACAGACAACTGGGAGAACGTTCAAAACTTTCAGGCCAGGCCAGATGATATACTTATTGCAACATACCCCAAAGCAGGTCAGTCCATATGAAGTGTTAGTGTAAATGATTAAAAGCTCATAAAATATGTGTGTATAGAGGTGAAGAGATGGCCTTTTTTATTTTCCTCTCTCTCTCTGTGTGTGTGTGTGTGTGTGTGTGTGTGTGTGTGTGTGTGTGTGTGTGTGTCTTTCTTTTAGGAACCACATGGGTCTCCTGCATTCTTGACCTGCTGTATTTTGGTCAGAAATCCCCAGAGCGTCAGACATCCATCCCAATCTATGACAGAGTGCCATTCTTGGAGATCAAGATCCCAACAGTGCATTCAGGTTGAACAGACGATCAAACGTACTCACCATATTTCACGAAACATGCATCACAAACATACAAACTACTCAATCTAATTTAACATTTAGTATACAGTGTGGTTATATTATACCTTTTTGCTTTTTTTATTTTATTTTTTACTTAAACAGACAATCATTATTCTTACAAGACATTGTATTTAGCACAGTCGCGAATTTAAGCACTTGTACAGGGTTTTGCTTACTCCATCTTTATCCCTTCTAATAGGAACTGACCTAGCGGAAAACCTCCCCACCTCTCCACGACTCATTAAAACTCATTTTCCAGTCCAGTTTGTGCCAAAATCCTTTTGGGAGCAAAACTGCAAGGTCGGTAGTTTATTTGCATGATATCAATGTGATCAAAAGATGTTAAAATAGAGGACAAAGTAACTTCACCAGTGTTAATAATATTATTTATATTTCATTTAAAGGCTGAATGGTGAGAAAAAGAAGTGGTAGAATTTAAGGCGTGTCTACTAATAGTTACTACAACAAAGACGTATGTGTGTGAAAGAACTGTTATCTTCTTCCGTAGATAGTCTACGTGGCCCGCAATGCCAAAGACAACGTGGTCTCTTTTTTTCATTTTGATCGCATGAACATGGTTGAGCCAGAGCCTGGAGACTGGAGCAGCTACCTCAACAGATTCATGGAGGGAAAGAGTATGTATAAAGAATACAATAACCTCCACCAAGGAGTTTGTGTTTGTCTGTCAGCTGGATTATGGAATAACCATTGGCCCAATTTTCATGAATTTAGTGGAAAGCTTTTAGCATGGGCCAAGGAAGAACCCATTTCTCATATTTTTCACTTTCATTAACTTTGTGAGATCAGTCAATTGCAGCAAAGTGAACTGAATTTGTTGTGAATGCTAAAGTAAACGGTGTGCCGTGACTACACATACAATAAAACGTAACAGTCACCTCAAACATCACAATAGAAACAAATCCAGCAAGTAAGAAAAAAGCAATCAGGAATGTCATTTTTCTGAATGAATACAGAATTGTGCCCTTGTAGTTTTTACTGGAACGGAGATGCATATATTTCTACTAAACATACCTGTTTTGTTTTTCTTTATTGTTATGTTGCTTTAGTGGTGTTTGGATCCTGGTATGACCATGTGAACGGCTGGTGGAAGAAGAAACAGACCCATTCAAAACTCCATTACATGTTCTATGAAGATCTGATTGAGGTACTTCAGTTGTTTTTGTGGGTTCTTCCAATTTACACTACATTTCTTAAGCTCTCCTTTTTGCTGGTAATAATGCAATGATGACATCTGATTGTGTTTCAAGGATACTGGACGGGAACTAGACAAACTCTGCTGCTTTCTCGGCTTGTCTCCTTCCGCTGAGGAGAAGAAAAGAATTACAAGTGGAGTGCAGTTTGATAATATGAAAAAGAATGACATGGCCAACTACTCTACGCTCCCAGTTATGGATTTCAAAATCTCTCCTTTCATGAGAAAAGGTAACCTGATAAATAAACTAAATGTGTCTGAAAAGAAAAAAAATACTCTGATCTCCACCTTTATGTAGGCTAACTGACTGACTCTCTGTGGTTTTGCAGGGAAGGTTGGTGACTGGAAGAACCATTTCACTGTGGCCCAGAATGAACAGTTTGATGAAGACTACAAGAAAAAGATGAAGGACTCCACACTTCAGTTCCGCACTGAAATCTAAACAGGATTGTACAGTCTGTGTATATGTGGAGATTGGTCCATGACTTACGGGATATGTGGCATTTATGTGAACAAGTTATAGTTACCTCTAATGTGATAGCAGAGGTGTGGAGTGTGTCTCCTTCCTCTCTGTTAGTAAATAAGTCTGTGAACTACATAATATAAAGCACAAATCAAATGACTAGTGATGTATGAAGGTGAGTATTTCTTATATATATATATATATTAACAAAAGGATGTATCTGTAAAATAAGTCATCATTTATTTAAAAAAATATCTTTAAATACAGAAATGTAGGCTTTGAATTAGTATTATGTCCACCATATTACCCAAATATATGCTAGTCTCACTGTGTGTAATTAATAAACAACTGTACTGTATTTGATACTCTCAAGAGTAGATTCGTGTCAGTAAAATGAATCCAAAGGTTTTCATATTTTATACTATGTATTTTTTTTGCAATAAAACAATAAGACCTTGTTTAAATTGTTTGCATCATTGTCTTCTGTATGAGGTATAACTAAATGATCAGAATATAAAAAAGTATAGAGAATATGGAATTGATGTCACATGCTCCACTTGATACGACTCCCTCGTTACCACTGAGCGGAGAGTGATCATGGGGACCTCTGATGTAGGGTCCACAGTTGGACGTTATGATGCACAATTCCGATTTGGTCAGCTCAGTTTTGGATTTCATTATCTTCAGCTGTAGTTGCAAATTTCTCTTGTTAGTTTATTATGTGTCATATCAATTTAAAAGATGTATATTTTTTTCGACAAATCAACAAATCCCATGAAAAGATGAAAACCAGCAATGAATTGCTCTCACAAACTAGAACTGCATGTATAGCTTAGATCTGATATAGCTCATTCCTCCACCTCTGACTCCAAAAAATTGGCAATGGCTAAAATGCCAAACTTGAGGCTTCTAAACAATACTCCACAAAGCATGAACTGACTGTTTTCTCAAAAACAACAATGGCTGCTGCTAATGAGGTTAGCGTAGATGCTGCAAGCATCATTTATATCAGAACTGGAGAGTTTTTCTTCATTTAAACAAGAGCAAAGAACGGCACTAAAGGCTTCTCTCTGGAAATGTTCACCCATGATAGGTGATGACAGACAGATGGTTCTTCCGATCAATTGCAGAGTAGTTTTTGAAAGTGCCTGCCCTTTTATAAACAGTTTCGACAACTTCTCAGAAGGTTCCATGTAGCAAACGATCTGGCACAGTCAGGTTAACATTTGTAACCTACGGGTGTTTGTTGGCAGTTCTAAACTGATGTGCCAGTATTAAGCTGTAGCTAACCCAGGGATTGTTTAAATGTGTACTCACAGTATCTTCAAGCCAAAAGTGTCTCCACCTCTGCCAAGGCTGCTGTAAACTGTCAGACTTCACTGCAGCTTTTTGTCTCCACCTCCTGCTGCTGTCGCCTGATCTCGTCTACTTTCCAGATGAGGTGCAGTTCATCTTGAACAAGCCCTCGCTTTATCTCGCTCTCAAATTCAAATTCAAAGGGCTTTATAACAAACAATAACATGCCCCCCACCCCAGTTCCTCATGCTCCCTGGCTCCCTCTCTGCTCAGCTAAATTCTGGCTTATATCCATCCCCTTAACTTATTACAATAATTTAAAGACTATTCACTTTGTTAGGGCACATTTCACTTTGTTAGGGCACGATCACACATGCCAAAATTCACTTATTTTCCTCACATTGAGTTCAACTTTGGTGATCTTTAACTGCCGAAGTTGCAACCTAAACTAATAACAACGAAGCGCTCAGGAAATCTGAAATCAATCTGGAAGGAAAGGAAGGGGCTGGACTTTCATGTCACATCTGGGACTGACCTTCAAATTACAATACAGACAGTGTTATGCAATAAAAATAGGGGGGAAGAACTGCAGCAGGACAAAAGTGTCAGAAATACAAGCAAACCAGCAACGATCAGTCTGCTGATCAGGACAAGGTATGTCTCTAAATGAATCTGTCTTTAAACTACAGTGTACTTTACTTTTAAGTGGAATTCATTACTTGTTAAACATGTAATGTTGAGCCAATGAGAATGCACTGAAGTATTTTAAAATGCATGCAAAAGCTATGCATTTTAAAATTTGTTATTTCTCCCCTTATAGATGACTTGTAGAAGTATTTTTTTTTTAAACAATCTGACTTCACTATCTGCAACTGACAGTGAACAATGTTGTTTGCATTCTTTACCGCACAATCAAAATGCTGTAGTTAAATTAGCTACTTAAATTATTATTGATCATATATCATAAATCATATGTTTTGATTCTTTTTTCTTTTTTTTAAAGATGGATTTACCTTCTCGACCAGAACTGTTTGATTTCCACGGAGTCTCAATGACCCACTATTTCACAGACAACTGGGAGAACATTCAAAACTTTCAGGCCAGGCCAGATGATATACTTATTGCAACATACCCCAAAGCAGGTCAGTCCATATGAACTGTTATTGTAAATGATTAATAGCTCATGAAAGATGTGTGTATAGAGGTGAAGAGATGGGCTTCTTTTATTTTCCTGTGTGTGTGTGTGTGTGTGTGTGTGTGTGTGTGTGTGTGTGTGTGTGTGTGTGTGTGTGTGTGTCTTTCTTTAAGGAACCACATGGGTCTCCTACATTCTTGACCTGCTGTATTTTGGTCTGACGTCCCCAGAGATTCAGACATCCATCCCACTACACCAAAGAGTGCCATTCTTGGAGATCAATGTCCCATCTGTGGATTCAGGTTAAACAGATGATCAAATATACTTTCTATATTTCACAAACATAAATCACACACATACAAGATAAGATAATCCTTTATTCATTGCAAGCATTTGGATGCTTGTTTCTCATTCAGTTGACAAGAAGCACTTGAAAACACACCACATGCATGAATCACCACATTGTTGGAAAGTAAGAGTTGTCGTCTTAGGTGTATTGTCCAATACTCTTGTTTGATCAAACATTTGGCAAAAAAGAAAATTTTGTGCAGTGAGATTACAGTTACAATTACAGGGAGATATTGAATATCACTGCAGACTCACCGTGAAAACATCTGATATCTAGTATCCAAATATAGAGTCAATACAGGTAGCATTTGAATTTGTGGAGATATATAAGTTAAATGATTTTGCATATTTTTTATAAATATAGTAACTGATTTATGAATTGACCACAGGTTGCAGTGAGGCAAACTTCTGTCACACATCAGTGGATGTGTAGGATATACAGGTCTCTTATTTAGATTTTGTAGTTTAGACATTTGGAATGTGAAATGTGAAAACATTTTGACAAACTGGGGTGATTCTCCACTTTATTTTGAAAACTGACCGAATTCTCTATGCCTTTTCCGTGTCTGACTTCCTGCCAATGCGATCTGCTCTGTGCTGCTTGACGCGGGTGGGTCACGGCTCTGCCCGGTGGAATTTGGGGGTTACTCGATCTTTACCTCTTCACATAGGAATTGACCTAGCAGACAACCTCCCTACCTCTCCACGACTCATTAAAACTCATTTTCCAGTCCAGTTTGTGCCAAATTCCTTTTGGGGGGAAAACTGCAAGGTCAGTAGTTTGTGTATGCTTCTGTGTTATTTGAATTATATCAATGTCTGATCACAAAATGCTAAAAATAGAGGACAAAGTTACTTCAGCAGCACTAAGGACTCATATTTCATTTAAAGTCTGAATGAGAAAGAGAAGCGGTACAATCTTATAGCCTGTGACAGGAGATAAAGTCTGACATAGCCAGATCTCCTCACCTGGTTTTAGCACTGTACCAAACGAAGCCATTCAAGCTGTCATCGAAAGATTTGATGAGCAAGAAGTTGTCAACCATCTGAAGTTTTGAACTTGAACTTTGCATAGAGGCCAACACACAAGCTGCAAAAGAAAACAAAGAGGAAAGGAACAGTAACAATATTCTTCTCCGTGTTGGTCAGTGTGACCCTCACTGTGGAAAAAAAGTTTTGCTGAGGCAGTCAAAAAGGAAACCTGGAACATCATCTCATTGCGTTAGAAGTATTGCTGACACAGCTGAAGTCCGGGGCACTCTTCCCTGGGGCTAGAGCACTGAATGGGTGTCCTTTCAGAACACGAGTTGCCAACATAGCGAGAAGGACCAAGGTCTTGGCGAGGCTCAGGCTGTAGAGAGTGAACCTAAACGAGGCATGGGGTTTCACAGGGCAACAGGGTCCTGACTGCAGTTCAAATTGTGGGTTTGGTGGGGGGGGCTTAACAGAGTGATTATGTAAACTGAGCATATGTAAACTGCCTACCGCAGCTTTAAGTGTTATCTTCTCTCATAGATAGTCTATGTAGCCCGCAATGCCAAAGACAACATGGTCTCTTATTTTCACTTTGATCGCATGAACATGGTTGAGCCAGAGCCTGGAGACTGGAGCAGCTACCTCCACAGATTCATGGAGGGAAAGGGTATGTATAAAATACTATGCTAAAGTTGTTGGTACAGAGATTCACAGATTTCCCTTGGCCAGTTTTGAAGTGCCTTCATTTACTGTTATGTTGCTTTAGTGGTGTTTGGATCCTGGTATGACCATGTGAATGGTTGGTGGAAGAAGAAACAGACTTATTCAAAACTCCATTACATGTTCTACGAAGATCTGATTGAGGTACTTCTGTTGTTGTTGTTGTGGCTTTTTTCGAATCATGCTACTTTTCAAACGCTCTCTTCTAGCAGGTGACAATTCAATGATGATATCTGACTATTATGTTTTCTCAGGACACTGGACGGGAAATAGACAAACTCTGCTGCTTTCTTGGTTTGACTCCTTCAGTCGAGAAGAAGAAAAAAATTACAAGTGGAGTGCAGTTTGATAATATGAAAAAGAACGACATAGTCAACCATTCTACAATCCCATTTATGGATTTCAAAATTTCTCCTTTCATGAGAAAAGGTAACCTGATAAATAAATACATAAATGTCACATAAAACAAAATTACATGAAACACAATTAGATCTCCACCTTTAACTAAAATAACTTATGCAGGGATGGTTGGTGACTGGAAGAACCATTTCACTGTGACCCAGAATGAACAGTTTGATGAAGACTACAAGAAAAAGATGAGGGACCCCACACTTCAGTTCCGCACTGAAATTTGAACAGTATTGGAGCGTACTTGAAGATTAATGGATATTGTGTGGCAAATCTGAAAGTTACTGTCTCTAATTTGACAACTGAGGTGTGTAGTATGTACCCAACTTGTTGCTGATGTTATATGTGATTGGTATACATGCAATGAAGAGCAAAGGGTATTTTAGCAAGAAGAAAAAAACAGAAAAAAGGTCCATTGTGTAACATTTAGGAGGACCTATAAGCAGAAATTTAAGATAATACTCATGGGTATGTTTTTAATAGTATATAATCACCTGAAACTTTGATTTGTTTTTGTTACCTTAAAATGAGCCATTTTTATCTACAGACAGGGGTGGGTCACCTTCAATGGAGGTCACCAGGTTGAATCACAATGTTTCTACAGTAGCCCAGAACAGACAAACCAAACACTGGCTCTATAGGGGCGTTCACAATTTTTCCACATTTCGCAGCCACCATAGTTTCTCCTTCAATTGGAAGGGGTTGGTGAAGTGAGGGAGTTGCAGTGTGCAACTACACCGCTAGATACCATTAGATCCTACGCACTGGTCCTTTAAATTAATAGTTTAAAAGTTTGGGAAATCTGCTTATTCACTTTGTTGTGGAATATAATATAAATACATGAGAAGATATATCTGGAAATCGATCTTCTTCTCAAATGTCTAATTATTCCTTGAACAATTACGTTGTTGCTGTATGACTGCACTATTATTTAACTTTGATACTCCTTTAAAGGACAGTAAAGGTCAGTTTGTATCTGTTGCCAGAGTTATCGTACTTTGATCTTGATGACACTGGGGTTTATGAGGTACTGCTTTTTATGTGAGCAACAAAATCATATAGAACTCAAACATCTGAATCATTCACCCTGTTTACTATTTCATTCTGTGTGTGAAAAGATTAAACTATTAAGACAAAAGTATGAAGTTTTTATTTTGTGTAAAACCTTGACAGTTTTATATGACCTGATTTAAAGTTAATTTGTTTGGTGGTTCACATGTTTGTCCAGTCAGAGTCAAAGGTGATAAAATTACATATTAGTATTAGTATTAGTATAGTCATGTGACAGTATTTGCACGCCTACACTCCTTTGAGGAAATTGTGCAGCTTGTATTACACAACAAACTGACTTCTTACGTGTGGATGTTCCAGACACAACCACTTTTTTGGGAAATAACTCCTCAGCAGGGTGAGTGTGCCGTTTGGCTACTTACTGAACTTGAATGTTCACAAAAAGGAAAAATATGCTGTGCTTGGAAGTTATGTGACAGATCATTAACTGACTGAGACACTTTAACTGTTTAATTCATGATTGTGTACTTGCTTGGATTAATGATAGAAAGGTAGAGGCACTCACCTCATTCACTGTTTGGAGAGTGAAAGATAAAGAAACCTATTATTAGATGTTGCCAGCAATAAATGTTTAATGAAGGTGAAAATGTTAAAAGATTTGATTTGTTTTAACATAGGCTACCATTGTTCTTCTGTGTATTTCAGTAACGTATTTGGTTTGGGTAGGGAATGTTTTGCTGAAAAGGATATGTTGCAATGTTTGTGTTTTCCTGTATTAGTAAGCCACAGTGCACGTTTTAGTGCTGTATGACTATTTACTAGTCAATATTGTACTAGTAATAATTGCAACTAGTAGTTGCAATTTCATAATTTCTTATTTAGACTGGACTAGAGAATTGCTGATTTGTCTGTCAGTCCTGGCAGCATGGACAATATTCAAAACGTTGTATTGGTATTTTAAACTGTCAGATGGAGATGCCACCTCGACCATCACTGCTTGACTTCCATGGAGTCTCCATGACCAAATACTTCATTGACAACTGGGACAACGTACAGAACTTCAAAGCAAGACCAGATGATATCCTTATAGCTACTTATCCTAAAGCAGGTGGGGTTGTGTGTGTAAGAATATGTGGCATCATAGTTATACTTTTAATCATGTTATATTGAGTAATTCCCTGGATTGATAGGTTACCTGCATTCAGCCCACTGAACATAATATATTCCTGTAATCTCAGGAACCACATGGGTGTGTTACATCCTGGATCTTCTGTATTTTGGGCAGACTTGTCCAGAGCGCCAGGCGTCCGTTCCTCTTCACGAGAGAGTGCCATTTCTGGAGATCACCATACCTTCTCAACCCGCAGGTTGAATCATGTGGTCACAATCACTCAGATGTTTTTATATTACATTTAAAAAAAAAGGTCTGAACACAGATGTCACTGGATTTGTGCACTTTGTCTCCAACATTATGACTGTTGTGTGTATTTTACCACAATAGTCACAATGAGTCACAGTGAGTGGGATGAGTGACAGTATACAAAGTCCTGAAACAGAATAAAGTGAGTGGACAATTACATATAAATCAAAAATATCCTATGTGACATTTGCACACACTCATGAGTCACCACATTGTTTCTGGCCACTGGAGCAACAGAAACAACAACATATCATTTTAAGCTGATATACTGATTTTGGTAGCAAACAGTTACAGTTACAGAGCAAAATTATCATTCATTTGGAGTCATGTTTTTGGCCACCAGGTGAATCTTAGTCTAATTTTCACTCTCTATTAGCTTCGATTTTTGGTCTCTAACTCCTGAGGTGACTCCTGAACTATCTGGCTCTTTGTATGAAACTAAAACAATAAAGTTGCAGTCCAGACAGCAAAAGCCGAAACTCACTATAAAACTTTGTAAAGTCAAGGAGAGCTGCAGATTCAGATGAAAATGATCTCTCTCATCACTACAAGCAAAGTGGCATGGAGTGTGTAAACAAGTCTTACTATGTATGTTATCAGTCAGTGACTAATGCTTCTCTACACAAAGGTACAGACCTGGCAGACCAGCTTCCCACAACTCCTCGTCTCATTAAAACTCATCTACCAGTCCAGTTCATACCCAAGTCCTTCTGGGAGCAGAACTGCAGGGTAAAAGCCAGTGTGTTATGAAGTGAGTTATGAACCCCACTTAATTATGATGCAGATTATAATATAATATTTTATATTTGTCTTTGTGTAGGTAATCTATGTGGCTCGTAATGCAAAAGATAATGCAGTGTCCTATTTCCACTTTGGCCGCATGAACAATGTCCAGCCAGAACCAGGGGACTGGAGCACCTTTCTGCAGAATTTCATGGAGGGAAAGAGTGAGTTCAGAGTAATTACTGTCAAGGAAGCACGATATCATCTCTTTTTTGTCTCCTCATTAATTATTCTGTGGCTTCAGTGGTGTTCGGATCGTGGTATGACCATGTGAATGGCTGGTGGGAGAAGAAACAGACCTATTCAAAGCTTCACTACATGTTCTATGAGGATCTGATTGAGGTGAGCTGATGTTTGTATGCATGTTGTTTTCAACAGAGCTTTAAAACCCATATTGACCGTGTTGTGGGATCAATCTTGTCCTCATTAAAAACTGAGGGTTAGGGTTGTGGAAAGTAAGATGATAAGATGTACTCTCTTGGGCTCTCTCAAGACTCAGAGAGAGAGAGTGTCCTCCAAACTAAACACTCTTGGACTCAACCTAAGTCAAGAAGCAAGAAATCCAGGAGTGATTTTTGAGTGATTCGGATTTCAAGGCTCATGTGTGACAGAATTTTATCATTTGAAGAACATCTCTAAAGTGAGGCCATTTCTCTATTTCAGCGACACAGAGAGAGACTGATTTTATACTGTATGTTGTATAGAAAGGTGACAGAAATCAATGTTGTATAGAGATGTGTTTTTAAGACTGGATATTGATCAGATAACACTCCGTATGTTTAATTTATGCGTTACAAGGCTGAGAATGAGACTCTTATATTTTCCGCAGGACACTGGGCGAGAGATAGACCGACTCTGTTACTTCGTCGGTTTGTCTCCTTCGGCTGAGGAGAAGGAAAGAGTCACAACTGGAACGAAGTTTGACAATATGAAACAAGACAAAATGGCCAACTATTCCACTGTCCCCGTTATGAATCACAAGGTGTCTCCTTTCATGAGAAAAGGTACGATGAAAAATATCTGGTAAAGAGGTTCCTTGCTCAGACCTTTTCTGTTGGCACCAAAAGCTGCTCAAACTGCTTATACTGATTTTATTAAGTGAATGGAATAATCCTCTCTGTTTCTCCAGGGAAAGTTGGTGACTGGAAGAACCATTTCACTGTGGCCCAGAATGGAGAGTTTGATGAAGACTACAGGCAGAAAATGAAGAATCCTTCACTGCGGTTTCGTACTGAAGTTTAGAGGCCTGGCCCGGCTGTGAATAATAAAGAGTCATAATAACAATAATGAATTGATAATAATGATTGATGTTGAGTCAGATATAGGGCATTGTCTAATCAGTGACATTGTCAGGGACATTTAGTTATGTCATCATGATGTTTTATCATCACAAAATAGCAAAAATTAAAGTTTGATGAATCTTGAATGTCCCTTTATTGTGTTTGTGAATTTACATTATGTCACCAGTTTGTGGAAATGAACCATTTATAGTCATTAGTCTGACTGTATTTTACAATTCTTGCACTAATAATCTGAACAGGCCAGAACTGACTGGAAGATCCTATATTAGGGAATCATCGGGCAATGATTAGTTCATGAATATCTGTGAATTGATCATACTGACCACTTTCTTAATGAATCATCCTGATTAACTCTGAAGCAGCCAGTGAACGCGCATAACTAGTAATGACTCATTCATTTCTAATTACTTAAACATTAGTTACTGTTTTTGTACACCCCAAATTAAGTGATACATAACACAGATATTTTACAAAGTAGTCCCTTATTACTTAATCAATATCTTTTGCCTTTTCAATTAAAGCTGTGCATCACACTGAGTGACTACTGAATACTGATTTGTTTAGTTTATTTAGAGAAGGGACAGAGCAAATTAATGAATATCCATGCTAAAAAAAGTTCCTGAATTAGCCCAAAGTCTATTTTTCTAGCTTGCTCCGATACAACAAAGCAAAAAAACAATAAAGGGAATGCAATGTTTAAGGAGTGAAAAATGACACACATTTATGACAACAGACAACAGACAACTGTAAACAAGCAGGACATATAGTATTGCAAACTAGCAGTGTCTTTGCAACCAGTATCTTCCTCTGAAGAAAGCAGTGAGTGGTTCAGTTGTTCAGGTTTTGCATTTAGCTGATTTAACCATTTTCAATGCCCATCATGGCGGCAGCCCAGTCAGTGCAGATACTGACACAGTTCTTCCAACTCAATCCCCCTGTTCAAGATACTAAGGCAATATGTATCATGGCTTTGAAAAATAAAAATTAAAATATTTCTGATATGGTTCACATCTACAAATCAAGTACTTGCCAATAGCTGAGTGTGCCCTCTTAGGTCTGTTAATTCGTCAACTTGTCAACCCATGGTTAGCATATGTAACAGTGCACCAGTAAGTGACTCCCTGTGTTACAGGAGGAAAGGTCTGTGTTGTAACAATCCCCTGATACTTTTGTCCCAGTGACAAGGCACAGCTCCTGAATTGAATTTGACGTTGTTTTTGTTTTGCTCCGACTAACAAAAAGTGCATCAACTATGACTTTTCTGAGCCCTACTGCTGACATGTCACTGATTTGCATTCTGACTGTAGTGATAGCAGAATCTTTTTAATTACGTTTGCAGCTTGTGGGCTTTTAATTGGCAGTTGCTGTGCATGCAAGACCGTTTCATTTATTGACACTGGTGTTGACGTTTTGACTTGAGGAAAGGGGCATGTGAGACGGATTTTGATGATGAAGAGGTGGCTAATGAACTGCATTTTTATGACAAGTTGTAGCTATGTTTTGGTTTTTTTTAATCTTTAGGCAATATGGCACCTAGAGGATCCAATGCAAATCTTGCAGGGGCTGGCGGTTTTGACTTTGCTGCGGATGAGAATGGACAGAAATGTGTTAAAAATGTTTTTAAGCCTAAGAATTAAACTAGTGCCAACCAGAAGGATGGATACAAACAACAACAAAGCAAGGTGTAGCAAGACTCGCTACTACGAAGGTTCTCCCAGCACACAGACCAACCACAGGGATTACTGAACAAGACAACTTTATTCTTTTGTCTGCCGCACACACAATTGACACACAACTTAGCTTGCTTCAAAAGTCCATTCAGGTCTGCTCCTGTTGTGTCTCCTCTGTCATGTGCGTCAGGCCTTGAGGTCCAGCACACTACTGCCTGAAAAGAGGTGAGAGTGATAACTTCATGAGTACCAGCTGAGATAATGAACTCACCTGGCCCTGCTCTCACAAGCCTTCCCCACACCTCTCTCTCCTTCAGCGCAGGAAAAGCGAGTGCAAACCACACCCACCTCCACACTTGGCAAGTCTGACATTTGGCAAGATTTCTCAGTTGTTAGTGACACAGTAAAATAACATCTTTTCACATGCGAGACAGGAGAAGAAACAAAATCTCCATTGTGTGGGTGCGAATGGTCAGTATGTTTGCAGATGTGGGCGGGAGTGGAACACACACATGGCTGGAGTGGGCGATAATGGTCAGAAATCTAGAGGGAGTAGGATTAAGAAAACAGTCCTCCACAGGGCTGTAACACACTGGTTCCCAGTTCTTTGGGGAGGCTAAAGCTTCACAGAGGGTCTCGAGGCCTTCTAGATTTTTAGGGGGTTTTACTTTTAGAAAGGCCTATTTCTCAGCATTCCATTCATTTAATTGAAAAAAACTAGATGAAATTGCTATTTTTAAAGTTAAGGGTTATTATATACGACATAAACTTTAAAATAATTTCACAGGATGAGGGCACAGTAAAGACCTGAACACAAGCAATATTCTCAGAGCCTTGTCCTGCGTTAGAAAAGTGTGCATTTAAAACAACCAAAGAACTAAAAGAACAATGGCCAAGAGTCAGGGACAATAAAACACTGAATTTGTCCAAAAAGATGCCTATTAAGTACAAGCTCACCTGGTAGAGCTGGCACCCCATGCACGAAGCCTAAGTCCTTGCTGCAGCGGGTATGGGTTTGAGACCACCCTGTGACCCTTTGCTTGTCATCCCCTCTCTCTCTCTCTCTCTCTCCTGCTTCTGTCGTCAGTCGTTTGTTTACTTAATGATAGAAAAAGCGTCCGCTGCTCTAATAGCACCCCTGACAAAGACGCCACGGTGTGTGCGAAGATCAAACTATTTAGACAAATAGTTTTTATTTTGTGTAAAACCTTCTGTACTTCTTTGATAATGTTGTATGACCTGATTTAACCTCAATGTGTTTGGATATTGATTATACCTCTGAGCTGATAGCAGTGTTTCATAAGTTTGAAGAGCCGGACTCAAAGCTGATAAAAAGCTGACTCATGACACAGTATTATATAACAAACGGACTTCTTTAGTGTGGATGTTCCAGACACAGCCACTGTTTTGGGAAATACCTAGTCTACTTTGATTATTCATAAAAATGAATGTGGTGGGTTTTTCAGTATGCATGTTTTAAAAATAAGCTGTGCTTGAAAGTTATTTGGCAGATCATTAACTGACCAGAGCAATTACATTTTGCTTCATGCTTCGAAAGTTGCAGGTCATAGTGAACATGTTACCGAGCCACTTTAACTGTTTAATATATGATTATGGACCTGCTGGGATTAATAATTAAAAGGTGGAGGCACTCATCTCATTCACTCCAAATATTTAAGTTGACAGAAGTGAACCAGAAAAACAACGAAAAGAAGCCTATTAATCAGACGTTACAAACAATTTAACTCAAGCAGCATAGGCTAATATTGTTCTTTTATTTTTTTCAATGTGTATTTTATTTTGTTTGGAATTACTTAAATGTAATGGAAATGTAATATTTGTGTTACCCAGTAAGTCCCTAGTGCACAGTTTTACTGCTGTATGATTATTAACTAGTCAGTATTCTAGTATTGGCTACTAGAAATTATTGCAAATACCAGTTCCAATTTGATTACTTTATATCAAGACTGGACTAAATGATTACGTACTCATTTGTTTTTGTTTGTCAGTCCATGCAGCATTGACAATATTCAAATAATCTTGGTATTCTAAATTTAAAATAACTCATTTTGTCAGATGGAGATGCCACCTCGACCAACACTGTTTGACTTCCATGGAGTCTCCATGATCAAATACTTCACTGACAACTGGGACAACGTACAGAACTTCAAAGCGAGACCAGATGACATCCTTATAGCTACCTATCCTAAAGCAGGTGGGGTTGTGTGTGTAAGAATATGTGGCATCATAGTTATACTTTTAATCATGTTATATTGAGTAATTCCATGGATTGATAGGTTACCTGCATTGAGCCCACTGAACAGAATATATTCCTGTAATCTCAGGAACCACATGGGTGTGTTACATCCTGGATCTTCTGTATTTTGGGCAGACTTGTCCAGAGCGTCAGGCGTCCGTTCCTCTTCACGAGAGAGTGCCATTTCTGGAGATCACCATACCTTCTCAACCCGCAGGTTGAATCATGTGGTCACAATCACTTAGATGTCTTACATATTACATTGTAAAAAAAAAAAAAGAAGCAGATGTCACTGGATTGGTGAACTTTGCCTCCATAATCTCTTCATTATGACTGTTGTGTGTATTTGACCACAGTGAGTGAGATTTATTCTACAGATACTGTACAAAGTCCGGAAACAGGATTGGTCTGCCTGAGATCAGTTTCGTTTTGCATACATGCACTCAGTCATATGTGATATGTAAGGGATAATGTACAGTGAGCTGCCCATGGCAGGATGCTTATTACACAGCTACTTACAAAAGAAATCAGTAATTTGTAGAATTACATAATTGACCAATCAGAATTGAATATTCAATAAAACCCTGTAAATGTGCACATGTTTTTTAACCAGTCTGCCATATCAACTGAAAGGGTGATAATGTTTCTGGCCACTGTAGGGCAGTAAAAACAAGTTGTGAAAAATGATTTATTTTATACATCCAGCTGTTATAGAGCATCATTATTATTGATTTGTCATTGTAATTATTGGCCACCTGGTGAATGTAAGTCTAATATTCAGTCTCTATTAATCACTGTAATCAGTCAGTGACTAATGCTTCTCTTTTCAAAGGTACAGACCTGGCAGACCATCTTTCCACAACTCCACGTCTCATTAAAACTCATCTACCAGTCAGAACTGCAGGGTAAAAGCCGGTGAAATATGTGAGTTTTTATTAACCCCACTTAATATGATGCAAATTATAATTGACTGTTTTCTATTTGTGCAGATAATCTATGTGGCTCGTAACGCAAAAGATAATGCAGTGTCCTATTTCCACTTTAACTGCATGAACTATGGCCAGCCAGAACCAGGGGACTGGAGCACCTTTCTGCAGAATTTCATGGAGGGAAAGAGTGAGTTCAGAGTAATTACTGTAGAGTAAGCATTATATAATTTAATTTCCTACATGTCTCCTCATTTATTATTCTGTGGCTTCAGTGGTGTTTGGATCGTGGTATGACCATGTGAACGGCTGGTGGCAGAAGAAACAGACCTATTCAAAGCTTCACTACATGTTCTATGAGGATCTGATTGAGGTGAGCTGATGTATGTTAGTATGTGTGTTACTTTCTTGTGGAAGGTTAGATAATAAGATGTATACCACTCTCATGTTTATATGAAGCTAAAATCAGAAGAGGTTTAACATTGCTTACCATAAGGGCTGGAAAAAAACAGACCGAGAGTCTTGCAGCAGAGACTCCAGAAAATAACTGCCATTGTTGTGTATGAATGTGCTAAAAGAGCGTGTCCACTGAAAGTGCTCATGTTTTTGGTGAAGGGTGAACTGAATATATCCGTTTGCAACGAATGAACGTGAAAAAAGGTACGATGAAAAATGTCTACTGACAACCAAAATCTGCTCAAACTGCTTATCTTGATTTTATTAAATTAAATTAAATTAAATTAAATTAAATTAATGATTTTCTCTGTTTCTCCAGGGAAAGTCGGTGACTGGAAGAACCATTTTACTGTGGCCCAGAAGGAAGAGTTTGATGAAGACTACAGGCGGAAAATGAAGAATCCTTCACTGCGGTTCCGTACTGAAGTTTAGAGGCTTGTGAATAGTGAGGAGTCATAATGACAAGAATTTGATGTTAGATTGTTAGTCAGATATTTGACATTAATCACGACCATCAAAGTGTAGAGCATCTGTTTGTTCTATGCTGCAGAACTGTTTGTTGGACAAACAATTTTTGTTTTTCTCTGTGAGGTTCCTATAAAATTAAATACAATAAAGGATTTATAACTATAAAACTAGATGACTTAAGGCATCCACTGGCAATTGACCATTTTCAAAGGCATCCCTTGACCTCTGACCTCAAGATATCTGAATGAAAATAGGTTCTATGGGTACCCCCAAGTCTCCCATTTGCAGATATTTCCACTTTATGATAATCCCATTTTGTTTTGAGCAAAAAACACAGCTTTTTTTTTTCTTAAATGTCTTATACACAAGTCGCCTAGTGTACTTTAATATTTCTGTATACTGGGGTCCCTGAACAGTGTTGGAATTGCAGAAACAGGGAATGACTTGAAAGCTGAAACACATTCTTCATGCCACCCCTGCACAAATCAGTGCCCCACCAAAGTCTGGACATGCCCCTGGACACAAGACAGTTTGGGATTAATTTGTTGCCTGTAAAAGCTGCATTTACAGGCAATCTTTTGTGTGTGTGTGATTTTGTAGATTTGCTATATTTCAAAATATGCTCAAAACATGGAATATGGAGCCCAGAACACATTTATTAATGGACAGTCTGATTATTTGCTTATTTAGACAATCTAAAAATTGCATGTGAATATTTTTTTATACACTTGCATACCTGTTTTCTTTCCCAGTTTCTTTGGATTCAAAACTTTTTGTTTTTAATTAAATTGTTTTAAGATGGCAAGCTGAAATAATTTTCTGAGACAATTTAACTACACTATCTACAACTGACAGTTAACAATACTGTTTGAATCCATTTCACAAAAATCAGACTGTTACAGTTGTTCAAACACATTGATCACATGTTTTGTCTTGAGTCTTTAATGTGTTTTTTTTTTCATCTTTTTTCAGAAGATATATTGAAGATGGTTTGTGGAAACTAATTAGATGTAAGCATATTTATTTAACAAAAACAGCAATATTATGCGTAGAACTATGCAGTGTAGTGGAGCAAGCAATAGCATCAGGGGTCCACAAGGGGGAAGCATTGAGTTGATACTTCTCAGTGTTGACTAGGTTCTGTTTGTTACACCTGGGTGCAGACCAAAACAACCCAAATTAATTCTGCAACGGTTAAATTGTGGTGGTAACGTGCTCTGACCTGGCTCTGATCCAACTACAGAAAAACACTGACATAATAGAAAGGTACAACCAGCACACAGCAGTAAGAGGACACGTTGACCTACCAGCAATCTGGACAAGGTGTGTCTCCATAACTGTGTTCTATGTACTGTTATTTAAATTCTGATAATATAATGCAGTACTTGTTTAACATGCAATATAGAGCTAATTAGAACAAATCTGTTAATGGACAGTTTGCCTCCTCTAAGAATTTATAGAAGCTTCTGGTTAGACTAAAACTTAATTGCATGTCAATAATTTACCATTCACTTTTATAGCTGTTTTCTTTCACAGTTCTTTTTGTAGTTCATCTTCTTCTTTTTGTCTCTTTTTTAGATGGCATTTAGATAATGTTTTCTAAACCAATCTAGCTTCACTGTCTGCAACAAACAGTTAACAATGATGTCTGAATCCTTTCCCCAACAGTCAAATTGTTGCAATATGATTACTAACACAATTAATTGTCCCAATGACTCACTATTTCACGAACAACTGGGAGAACATTTAAAACTTTCAAACCAGGCCAGATTATACTTATTATTACTTATTGTATCATACCCCAAAGCAGGTCAGTAGAGTGCTTTATACTGTGGCTCTTTATAGATGTGTGTATGGAGGTGAGGGGTTTGGATTATTTATTTTATGTCTTTTTTTATTTCCTCTGTCACTCTTTTAGGAAACAGAGGTATCTCCGCCTTCAGCTAAAATAACTGACTGTTTCTCATTTTGCTGTGCCCCAGACTAAAATAATTGACTCACACTTGGGTGCAGACCAAAACAACCACACAAGACCCTTCAGAGTCAGTGGTTTCGGCCGGGTCCCAAACAAAGATTGCAGCGGTTTGTTTGTGGAAGCAACCCGGTTCAACCATAATCTGACCCAACTACCAGGTGTACTCCGCAAGCTTGAGCTAAACTGTAACTGTAACTGCTCCTGTAGGCCAAATTGTTTTTCCCAGGGTGGGGAAGTCATGACCCTACTCTCTGGCTCTGCATCTGTCTGGCTGGTACTCGATGATGAGTGAGATTGGAATGGGTTAGGGTAAGAATGTCAGTGTGAGTTAGTCAGAGGTAGAGTACAGCAGGTCATGAGTTCACCATCATGGTAAATAAAGTATTGCATCTTGTAGCCAGGGGTGCTTTGCACTCTTGGACGTGGCATAGCACGCACACTTTAGGAGCTTGTCTAGTCAGAGCCGGTCAGCCCTATACACTCACTATGCAAGCTGCATAGGGCCTAGCAAATTGCACTTCCCCTTTGTCTGAAAGTAGGTGTTTACAACTTTAATGAGATGAAGTGGAACTATCTTTTCTCATCACAAAGAGACTAAAAAACCCACCATGATGCCATTCCCTAACTGGAAGCGATGCAAATGAGCAAACCTTAGGGCTTCCTGCTTCAGAAGCCACAGCATCTTTACTTTATAAGGATATCCTCCAAAGGATGAGGTTTGGAGGGAAATTGGCCTGATTGGCCACCCAAAGTGCCACCCCATTATCCCATGTGGCTGGCAGTTCATCTCTTCGTCTGTCTGTGTCTTTTTTCCACGGCTGGGCTCTGTGACTTTGTGCCTGACAAAAGTGAGAGTGAAATATGTATTTTGTTTGATCAACACCAACAGGCAAGTGTTCTCTCTCAAAAAAAAAATTAAGAAAAAAATGCGCATTCATTTGCAACTTGTTATTGACTAGTTCAAACTATATATGGGTGTGATGGCACTCTTCATAGACACACATCATTTTTAAACAAGATCATTATTATCTAGTCTCTCAGTCAATGTTTAGTACCAACTCAGGACTAATGCAAGATGGTAAACAATTGATTGACATTGATTATTGATTAAATATTGAATTTAAAATGTTGACTGGGCATACTGGGCAATATGGATGCACATCCCTTAGTAAATAATAATCATGACTTCAGGGAGGTCAGAACCAGCTCTGTGTGTAGTAGCAGCTAGCTGGAAAATGAACTGAGGTCTCACCTAGTGTAAAAGAGTATTTCTAAGACATTACCTCAAAGTGCACATAGCATTCTGCTGGTATTTTGCCTGGTAGCCTACATTGCCCATATACTTACCACGGTTATGAGCAAATGCCAACACTGCCATTGCTCCATGTTAAATTTCAAACCAAGTAAGGTCTTATGAGAACGTTACTAGATTTGACTACAGTCACCAACAATCACCACCATAGGACTTTCACATAAAGAATACACAGTGGCAGTACTGTACCACCTATTGTACCTGTCTACAAGAGGGTGTTCCTTTAAGTAAATACACAGGTAAGTCCACAAATGAAAACAGAAGCAGATGTACAAATATATATATATAAACAATATTTATGTAGCTCCTTGCTTTAATTCGTCCTTTTTCTTGTCTTTTCTTTGCTTATATGTACATAGTTATACATTTTAATCCTTTTCCTAGCTATAGCTCCTCTTATGCCATGCTTCCTTGGTGCTCCACTTGCAGGTGTGTCTAGTAGCAGCAATTTGTTCAGTTTTTAGAAATGCTGCACAAGAGGTAGGAACCAAAAAAGCGGTGTTATACTCTATTAAATAACACACTTTATTAAATAATATATGTAATAAAATAAAAATTTTTACAACAATAAATGTAGTTTAGTCAGGGGAAAAACTTTCTTTTAAGAGGCAGAAACCTTGAACAGACCCTGGCTCGAAAGGAAGCATTTTTAAGGTAAGTAGAATTGGTCCAAGCACAGAACCTCATGAAATCAAATGTCACCTTTATAACATATTTTTAGCTTAGTGACAATCTATGATAGAGTGCTATAAGTCAATACTATTTAACATAAAATACATTTCTAAACAGTAATTTTCTATGTCACATATGCAGCTTTAATATTGTATTTACGGCTACTGAAAACACACAAATGCTGCATTTATTTATACCATACTAGCTAACTGGCTCCTTAAGACCTACAGAGTTGCCTCAAATGAGCTAATATAGCAGTCTTGCTAGCCTACACAAACTAGCTTAAAACTCCACAAAACTACAAAAAGGCACCACAATATGACTAAACTTTATAATCCTAACAACCATATCATAACAAACATAAACAAGTAGCGTCCATTTTTGGCATAAGGCAAACACGCTTTGTAATGCGGACACACTCTGGACTTGGCGAGCTACCGTACACCTTTCTTCCCTTTTTTGGCGAGACCCTTTCAAAATTATCACGTAACCTAACAATAACTCTTAAAAGATTAATAAAGAGGAAAAAAAAGTAACTTCTTGAAATATGCTGGGCCATATTAAAGGTCATTTGCAAATACACTTATATGGTTTTTTTTTTCATGTCTGTGACATATTCTCCAGTTATAGACATTGAAACTGTAGTGAAAGGTTACTGCTCTAATGTTGATATGACTATGAACAGACCCTTTTCACTTTCTATTTTAGCTGGCGACACTTTGACTCTAGTGAAGTGTCACTGCAGACTCAGGTGAGCAGTGTTATCTGCCAAAATAAAATGCACTGGCATGATCGACATCCACATGAATATCAAAATCACCTTCAATAATTACTTTATGTTTTCCAGGTCGGGTGTCAACGACTAAGAACAATGCTTTTTTTTAGATTCAGGATTAGATAGATAGATAGAGGGAAATTCAATAATTAATACACAAGGCAAGTTTACACAAGGCAAGACAGGAGTGGCAATCTGAGTTATCTGTGACTTCTCATCTGGGGCCTGATCTTATGATCACAGGAGAGAGGTTGGTTATCAAAGAAAGAGGAGGAAGGTTATATATTTACCATATTAACATAAGTGGAGGAACACACCAGTATAAGAGAAAATACAACCAGCACACAGCAGTGAGAGGACACATTGAACTACCAGCAACCTGGACAAGGTATGTTTCTAGATAACTGGGTTTTCAAATATAATTTCTATAATTTACTGTTTATCAGAATATGTTCAAAACATGCAAGATGGAACTAATTATAACACTTTTATAAATGTATCTAAAACTTAATTGCATGTGAATCACTTTTATATAACTTTGTAGCTGTTTTCTTTCCCAGTTTCTTTTGGGTTCTAAACTTTTGTTATTTATCTTCTTTGATGACCTGTAGAAATGATTTTCTAAGACAATTTAACTTTGCTATGTACAACTGACAGTTAACAATGTTGTTTGAATCCTTTTCCTAACTATAAAATTGTTACTTGTCTAACACAGTACATGTTTTGTGTGTTTTGAGTCTTTAATGTGTTTTCTTTTTTCAAAAGATGGATTTATTTTCTCAACCAGAACTGTTTGATTTCCACGGAGTCCCAATGACCCACTATTTCACAGACAACTGGGAGAAGATTCAAAACTTTCAGGCCAGGCCAGATGATATACTCATTGTATCATACCCCAAAGCAGGTCAGTACAGTGCTTTAGACTGTAGCTCTTTATAGATGTGTGTATGGAGGACAGAGGCTCGGATTATTTATTTTATGTCTTTTTTATTTCCTCTGTCTCTCTTTTAGGAAACACCTGGCTCAACTACATACTCGACCTGCTGTATTTTGGTCAGACTTCTCCAGAGCGTCAGACAGCCATGCCTCTCTATGCAAGAGTGCCTTGCTTGGAGATCATCATCCCCTCTAAGCCAGGTTGAATTAACAATCACGTACTCACCATATTTCATGTCATAAATATGCTAACATTTTTATGCCATGTTAATAATTTGCGGTCTTTTGCTGAAATTAGTAAACTGAACTGTTCACATTAAATATTACACGTCGTTATGTTGTATTATAAAGAGAGTGTACAATAGCTTAATGATAATTTGTTCATTTGTCTTGGTCATTGTATCTGAACGGTTTATGTGTAGTTGTATTGTGTTTGTCATTCACTGACATGTAAATAGTTTTAATGTACAGGATCTACTCCACATATGTACAGAGGAACAGAGCTGGCAGACAACTTCCCCACCTCTCCTCGACTCATTAAGACGCATCTTCCTGTCCAGTTTCTTTTCCGAAGTCCTTTTGGGAGAAAAACTGCAGGGTTAGTTTGTGTGTTATTTTAACCTCACAAGAAGCTTTGTGATTATATTAGTATAGTGCAATTTGAGGAAATGTTGGCACACATGTCCAAAAGTGCACCAAAACACATGAGGTGGTAAAAAAAAATACTACATTCAAACAATTAATCAATATAAATTGAGTTTTTTTATGTGTTATTTTGAATAATCCTGTTGTTGTGTAAATTAACCCAAACAGACTTTTATTTGAGTTGGGTATTGACCTTGGGAAATCAAATTTGGTGACACTGAATAATCTCTGATGAAATGCCATGTCAACACTTGCATCAATTTGGCAAAGAATACGTGAAAAAATTATTATAAGTGCAGCGCCAATAGTTGACAATTGTACTATTTAAACCAACCAATTTTTTTTTCTACTAAGGCAATAGTTAACCTTTTAGAGTCAAGGCCCTCCAGAATAATCGGGTTGGTGTTTGTGGACCCTATGTTGAATGTCTTTAAAGGAATGACATCACTGAGAGCTGCTTTCTGTTCTCCAGCTACTAGTACAGTTTATTTTTGATCAGTTGTTCATAAACACATATTTCATGTTACATGCATAAGATAATAAAGATAATGTTTTTTTCTTGTTGTTTAGATGGTATATGTGGCCGGCAATGGAAAGGACAGTGTGGTGTCTTTTTTCCATTTTGATCGCATGAACATGATCCAGCCAGAGCCTGGAGACTGGAGCAGCTACCTCCAGAGATTCATGGAGGGAAAGAGTATGTATGAAATACTATAATAAAGTGGCTTGTATGAGAGATACACACTCCTCCACACCCTTCAAGTGCATTTATTTATTGTTCTGTTGCTTTAGTTGTGTTTGGATCCTGGTACGACCATGTGAACAGCTGGTGGAAGAAAAAACAGAGTTATTCAAAACTCCATTACATGTTCTACAAAGATCTGGTTGAGGTAGTTTATTTGCTTTGTGGGTTGTCTGTGTTTGTGTGATTCAAAAGTCTCACCCTGATCAGGTTAATTGTACAAAGCTCTGCTCTAGAGGGTAATTGTGTGATGATAATATTTGCTTCCAGGATACTGAATGGGAAATAGACAAGCTCTGCTGCTTTCTTGGTTTGTCTCCTTCAGCTGAAGAAAAGGAAAGAATCATAGACAGAGCGCAGTTTGATAAAATGAAAACGAACAACATGATAAACCATATAAACGTCAGATTCATGGATTTAAAAATGTCTCCCTTCATAAGAAAAGGTACAGTGAACAATTACACAATTTACATGTGAAATATATATATTCTATCTTCACTGATTCTCTGTGGTTCTGCAGGGAAAGTTGGTGACTGGAAGAACCATTTCACTGTGGCCCAGAATGAACAGTTTGATGAAGACTACAAGAAAAAGATGAAGAATCTTACACTGTAGTTTTGTACTGAACTCTAGAGGCCCGGCCGTGCAGAGTCAGAAGAGCCTGAACTGATATGTGATATAATACACAATAATATTGTGTATTGTAAATAGTAAATTTGATTGACAGGATATTGTCTAATCATTTCTAACTATAGTGATGTCGACTGATGTTATAATATCATCCAAATATTAGCCAAAAACTTTTTAAAAAAATTATGATTGGGAATCTGCATTATATCACTAGTTTGTGGAAATTGAGTGGATGGATTAATGAGATGTAAGTGTATTATTTTAAAAAACAGCAATGGTAATAAAGGGGCTTCAAATTTTCTCATTTTTATTTGAATCCAGACATGAAATGCAGCAAGAAATACAAGAACAAAAGTTCAATGAGCAAAATAAAAAAAAAAACAATCTAACACTGTACTCCTGTACTGTAACTACAGACTGGAAGGGGCACATTGATTGTATTTTCTATGGCACGTACTGCTTTGTGGAGGGGACAACACTACGGGTGCTGGAGATACCACCCTGGTCATGAAGTAAAAGAGGTAACAGTGAAAACTGATACAGTGAAATCTTACAGGTTCATTGGAATGTAGACAACAACACAAGGCCATTGTACTGTAAATACGAAACAAGTCAAGCATCTCACATCACTGGGAAGTACTGCAAGTCACCTTGAGGTAACCGGGAAAATGGATTTACTCTTAGGAACAGAGGCCTAAATTAAGATTTATTTATTATTATTATTTATTAAGTGTTTATCCACTTTTGGAAAAAAAAAACACTTCTTGAAATGTATCATTAAATATTAACAAAAGTAATCCAAGATTAAATTTCAGTCATCTTTTTGTGAGGTTCAGTTACCATCTCAGGTTGGAACAAAACCTTTTAAATGTAAGACTGAGGAGAGAACCACTGGGCTATTTTCAGGATCACCAAACAGATTCAAGTTCATCAATAGATTAAATATGGTTGGATGTGAAGGGTTTTATCTGTTTCTTTCCAATACCTTCGTTCTGCCCATTAGTTATTCATTTTGCATAACCATTACAATCCTGAGCACAGCCCAGAAAGTCCTTCACATAACCTCTGTAGTCAAGTATTAACTGTCACAGCTCTGCATGTCATACCCAGACCTCAATCTGATGTCACAATAGTCTGCACAGCTCAGACACAATACCACTTCAGATTGTCTTTCACAGTAACAACTACAACTATGTTTCAAATACACCTTTATTCATGAACATCAAAAATAACATTATTTACATTGTTGCTTATACATCATATATTTGAAAGATATTTTCCTCTTGAGTAGTAAAATACTTCAGTCTAGTGCTCAGGCTTACAGTTAAGTGCTCTGTTATTGAGTTAGGTCTAATATAAGAGATCTGAGGATCATGCCAAGCCAGTCATGTGGGGTGCAGCCCTGCAAAGCTGTGTAGCTTTTAATTAGTTAACATATCAAACAATCTGAATTGATTCAATGCAACTGATAGGATCATGATTGTGTAATAATATTTTAGTCAAATTCTGTAAAACTGCAGTCAGAGGCTTCAATCATACATAATTACTGATTGCAAAAGCTTTGTCATTATGAGTCCTACAGCAAAGTCCTACAGCAAACTAATAAGATAAAATGCTTTAAACTCACAGGGGAATGCTTGAATTTTGACAATTTCAGCTACATCTAAAAGCTTCAGCAACACTTTCACATGCATGCGTCTGCATGTTTCAGGCTGTTGTTTACTGCCTGTGCCTTTACGTAACCAGCTTCACATTAGCATACGAGGCAGACTGGACAACAACAACAGCAGCAGCATGTTAAGAGCTTAGAAGAAGTAATCCGTAGGTGAGTCACTATGATACTGGTAAGACGCTATAGAGAGTTAACCCAAATAATGGGTTTATAGATCCATAAAAATAGCACAAAACCAACCAAGGTTATGTATGGCACATCACAAAGCAAATATGGAAGACAGCAAATAAACTCTATGAAAGCTATGAAATTCACAATTATTGATATGCAGACATTTTTCACAGAAACAATAGAAATAAGACCTTAGAGCTACATCTGTCTTTAACCCTTCAAACATACTGAAACTCTGGGTGCCCAGATAGCTCAGTGGGTAGAGCTGGCGACCCATGCACCAAGGCTGAGTCCTTGCTGCAGCGGCCCAGGGTTCGAATCCAACCTGCAGCCCCTTGTTGCGTGTCATCCCCTCTCTCTGACCCCCTTTCCTGTCCATCTTCAGCTGTCACTATCATAAAAAGCAATAAAAGCCCAAAAATAATAATAAAAAAAAAACATATTGAAACTCTCAGTTGTGCTGTTCACAGACAGGGAGTTGATGATCTAAACCCATTTCATAACTTTATTCAAGTTATGGGAAGATAAAAATCATCACACCAACCCAAAGCAGGGACCTGCTAAAGAGCAATTTTTAGGACTTGTTGAACTGGATTCATGGTCCCAGTGTACTTGAAGTTATACCAGTGTTATGCAGGAGTGTGTTTTCGAGAGGAAAGACAAGAAAAAGAGGGAGATAATGGGTGGTAGAGAAAGAGATGAAAAGAGTTGATGTTGATGAAATTAGTGTGTTGTGTTGTTTATCTGTGCTATATCTTATCTTGTATCTTATATTTTTATCTTAGATTTACTCCTAGAGTAAAAGGTATACCATATCTGTTCCACCAACATAGTTGTTGAACCCTTTAACGAAGCAAAAGGCAACTAGATGATATCCTTTACGGTGATCACCAAGAGACACTTTTCAATACTTTCCCTTTCTCTTCTAAAAATATTACATTTTTAGGCCAATCTTTGGGCCATTCAATCATTTATTTGTTGAACTCTTGGTTAGGAACAGTATGTTAAATGTGGTGTAGTTGATATGCGGCCATTGGTCCTTATGTTCAAGGTTTGGTTCATAGATCAATAATTTCACTGCTGACACTGGCAGAGTCATCGTGTCTGCTCACCTCCAGGTAACTCCGTGACCCTACCGGTCTCCCAGCCCTCCCCCGCACCCTCTCTGAGTCCGGGGTGATAAAAGGCCGTGTGTCGTCCACCCCATCCTCCCCCAGATGCCCTGTCGATGTTCTGGAGGGGCGAAGGGACACAGGGCAGGACACTGATGAAGGGACACTTCCTGCCGTGTTCCCAGCCCACCTGTAACCCTGGTGGGAGGGTGTGGGGGGAGCAGTCACCTGCCTGCTGGGCACACTGCTGAGAACGCTGCCCCCCAGTGGCATGGAAGACTCTGTTGGGGCATCGCTGCTTTCAGACAGCATCTGAGGGTCACTGTTCCTGCGGAGCCACGGCCCCTGGCTGACCCCTGAGCCCGGGGAGGGGCACTGTGAGGTTTGGTTCAAAGGATAAAACAAGCTCCCTTCACCGAGCAGGTGTTCCCTGTGCAGAGCCTTGTCAATGCTGCGGGTCAGGTCAATGGGAGATGGGGGCCGCAGATCAAACTCATAAAGAGACAGGGAAGTGTCCCTATCCTGATCCAGGCTGCCACTCACTGAGCGCTGTGGAGGCCGGCCCAGCGCCTGCAGTCTCAGCAGGGAGCCTGTGGAGCCATCAGATATGCCTCGTTCTGCAGAGTGGCCCCTGTGGTTGCGTCCCCGGTTGCTGTCTTTGACACAGCGTGGCTGTGCAGTGGCCTGCTCGTGGTTCTGGTTCCTGATCAAACTCTTGCTGATGTCAGCTCCAGGGCGCTCCTGGCCAGCCCAGTTGTTAGGCACCTCCCCTGGTCCTCCTCCTCCTCCCACCCCATTACTGTCAGACTTTTTACATGGCTTCCCCCTCAGGCTCTGGACTATCTTGGACCAGCAGGTGTGTCTTTGAGTGGAACCTACAGATTGGCCAGGGGACGGCAGGTCTCCTGCTGCTCTGCCATCTGGCCCGCTCTCCTCCCTTCCTCTGCAACCTTGAGGCCTCCAGAACACCCAGGAAGCCAGGAGCAGGAGTGAGAACCCCCAGGCCAGCTCCAGGAGCCGGGCCCAGAAGTGTACCAGCCACCACCCCCAGTTGAAGCGTGTCCAGTTTCCTAGCAGTCCATAGAGCCATAAGGTGGCATGAACATGCAGCCCACAGCACAGTGCCCCCAGGACTGCACACACTGCCAGCACTCTTCCCAGGATCACCCCTAACCTCCTGCTCCCTGTCCAAGCCTTCCTCCTGGCCTCTTCAGGGACTCCAGCATGAGGAATAGCAGGGCAGCGTATACGTGGAAAGACATAGCAGAGGAAGCCCAGACACAGAGCAAGACCCCAGCACAGGGACAGGACCTGTAGGGTGACGGGCACCACAGGGGACAGTGCTGGTGAAAGCAGATCAGCCGCCAGCAGCAGGGTACACTGCAACACAGCCAGCACAGCCACCAGAGGAGGACGTTCCAAAGTTGGAGGTAACACACTTACTCCTGCCACCCTCAATGCCAGCAGTGCCAGGGCGGCCTGTGTCCACACCAGCAGGTGTAGAGGCAAGTTGTAGAGCGCAGTAACTGCGGGGCGAGGGAGGAATTTCCGCGTGCCATAGGGGTCAATTAGAAAAAGAACCGCTCTAAGTCCCCCGGCCAGAAACAACAGAGCATTGGCAAGTGCAAGAGCCCCTCGGTGAGGACAGTTTGTGCCAGGGGACAGAGTGAGACCAAGAGCAGCACCAGCAAACAGGAGGAGGAAGAGGCTTGCTGAGCCGTAGACATGAAGCTCCCAGGCAAAAGCCAGCGTCTGGCTCAGGTCCCCCCAGTAGAGAAGTGTGGCATTAGGGGAAGGACTGGTGCTGGGAGAGGGGGCTGCATTAGAAGTAGAGAAGGGAGCTTGGTGAGGATGTCCTAGGAGAATGGAGCGGTTCCTTTGACCAATGCCAGTCTGATATGTGGGGCTCAACCTTATTCGGGTGACCCCTGTGGCAAGGAAGGAAGCGGTCCCTAGAAAAAGAGAAACAGAGTTTTGGTTTTCAGTTTTTTAAATACATGAAACTAAAATGTTAATAGTAAAGTTCTTCCTAAATGCCATTTATCTGAAAAGCAGAGCAATAGTATAAAAGTGCATGAAATACTGTTTTAGTGCCACTAGAGGGGTGTAGCTCACTATCAAAGTCAAGAGCTAGAACCAACTGGCCCTCTCTGTAACCAAATCTATTCTGTACAGACACATTGTCCCAGGCCTACATAAAGACAAGGTCTAATCAAATTAGCAAACTTGTACAGTCTCAACTGTATTTTTCCTTTTCTCTCTCATCTTTTAGAGTGTCAGGTTAGCTAATACCAGCACACAGGGTGTAGAGAATATTATATGTTTAAATATTCAAGCCAAAGTCAAATGATGTATTTCTAATTATTTTCAACGAAGTACTGAAAAAAGAAACACATGTAGAAAATATATTTACTCATCTAATACAACTGAAACAGCAATCATAACATGCAAAAATGGCAGTATGATTTGAATACCATGCCACCACATCATCCACATTATATTCCTAAATATGAAAGACATTATGTTGAGCGAAACTCCTCTGGATAACTGAGTAGTAATTGTGTGGCTTAATTGGATTAGATTATGTAATTAACGTCTACATTACGTAAAATAAACAGTGTCACATAGCATCCAGAATGAGAAAAACTCTCTTAAATTCTTGCAGTATTATACAATACTTAACTACCTCGTGGGATAAGACAGCATCGCAATGTGCCACCTCGTTATATCTCTGTCTCTCTCTGATTTTCACATGCACACACATATTTCTGTTTGTTCAAGGCACTCCACCTTCTCCTTCTGCAATACCATGGAAACACCCAACAGCATTATAATCATGAAGCCATTCATCACTGAGTGCTTTGTGAAGTGCTCAACTGTAAAGATAACACAGTGTAAAAAACATAACCTACAAGAACTGGTTGAGTACCATGGAATGATGTGAATAATCCTACTAACAGAGAGAAGACACCAACCCCATAAAATGTGTCTGATAGTAGCTAAAGGGTATCTATCTAGAATTATTTCTGAGGAATTGTTTCACGCACACACACATTTAAACTTGATGGATGGTGGAACAACATGATCAGAGGTAAAACACTCAAACCATCAGCTACTTGGAGGGCTTTAAGCTCCGTCCTCACCCCGTAGAGGACACCCATAAAACTGACACAACGACTAATGACTCACTCCAACATGTGTTTCACTTCCTGGCTCTCTCCCTCACTCCCTCCTATCACACATGCGTTTCAGACTCACACAGGCGAGCACTGCGTACAGATCACAGACACACTTCTTTATTTATATAAACGTATGTTTTACTTCCTTCCCTCAAACTTTTTTTTTTCTAACAGGAGCAAGATCCAGACACATTCCAGATGTGCTGATCACATTTCACAGCTGGATACACTTAGACCTACCCCTACCCTTGAGTTTTCTCTTTAACAAACACACACACACACACACACACACACACACACACACACACACGCACACACACTGCTTACACTGCTTTATATGTCAGCATGTTGCAATGAACCAAAAACTAAATATCCTGTTCCATCTCATAGGACACACAATCATACGTATGTTAACGACCCAGATATATACACGCAGTAGAAACTGGTACCACCATGGATGCAGGCCGTTCATACTTTCAATGAACTGCCAAAAAACTTACTCGAAGTTAAATGTACTCATGGGGCAGGAGTCTGACCATTTAAAAGTCATTAAGATGTTGTTCACATAGTATCTAAGAGACTTGCTCATAGGCCCCATGTGTCATGCTTTTCCTTTTCCATCTACGTTTTTTTCAGCTCCCCTCCCTTCATCCCTTTCTCCGTGCATCTGGTTTTCATTATCATCCCTCTCCTTGCAATTCTGTGTCTGTACCTTTCTTCTACCACACTTTCACCCACCCCAATCTAGTCTCTCATCGGTATTCCCCACAGTCTCTTTTTCAGACCCTACTTTCCTCTTGTCTATCTCTTTGCCTGGCTGCAATTCTACCCGCCCCCTCTTCAAACCTCCCTCTCACCTCCTGCTCATACTTTCTTTCCTCCCTGTGTCTACCCCACATAACTACCACCCCACTTTTCATGGAAATGTTTCTTTGCTTTTTCCCTCCTTTGAAGGCTTTTCCAGATTCTTCCAGTAAAGAAGTCCCAGCTGCACAAATAATTCCATTTTAAATTATCAAAGGATAAAGGTCACTCTAAAAGAATCAACTACAGAGCACAAGACCTTCATTTATTACCTGTCCTTGATGACTGTACAGTTGTGCTGGCTGTATTTCTTCCCATTTGCGTTGTTTTGTTGGGTTGATTTGTTGTTTTGGAGGATGTTCTCACAGCTTCCTGTGTAGTAAGCGAACTAGTTGTCGCTTTGGTTGCCACTTGCTGTGTTGAGGTGTTTGAATGCGAACTGTTTTGGGCAGAAACTGGCTGTCCGACAGTCTCTGACTGTTTATCAACAGAGTCGGTGGTGGTAGTTGTGAGTTGGGGTAATGTCACTGCAGCAGAGTCCTGCTTTGGAGTAACTTTTTTGGTGGAAGGAGTGTTTGCCGTCAGTTCACCTAAAAATGGTGGAAAAGACACATTTGTGACATGGTGTGAAGATTTTGACCTCAACAGCACCTTACCGTCATGAAGCATTAATTCTAATATATTTGATTTCTCACCTGTTAACATTACAGTCCGAGGTGTCGCCTGTGTTCCCACAGGGGACAGGGTGGCTCTTGTCTCAGTCTGTGGCGTCGTAGAGATTTTACTGGCTGTTGTAAGGACAAACAGTTGAGGCTCCAGCGTCTGACTGTCTGGCAGTGGCGTTTCTACATCAGAAACTTTAGATATCGCGGTCTGTGCCTGTGGCCGATACTGAGCCATTTCATCACCAACCGTTGGCAGACCAATAGGTGATTCCTCCGTCACAACCATCACTGTTGAGATACTGCCTGATCCCAACCCCTGCAAATCATCATCCTCTGTCTCTTTCACTGATCCCTCCTCTGGATTCCCTGCTATCACTGGCTTATCAACTGCAGACTCAGCGACAGCAGAGGAGGGCAAAGTGGGCAGTGGTGGAGTTGAGCCTTTTGTAGTAGCATCTCCCTTTGCTAAAGCCCTGAGGATTGCTAAACTAGCTGTATCAGTCCTGGGCCTGGTGGCAGTAGGTTGTGTTAAAACTGGCCCGCTGCTGAGGTTCTGCGTAGAAAGGCCAGGTATAAAAGAAGGAGTGGACTGTGCAGTAGGATGGGATATTCTCTGTTGCACTGCATTTGTAGTTGTCAGTCTATCCCGCACTGTAGCTCTGATAGGCACATCACTACGCCCTCTGGGAGGCAAAGAAGGCCAAAATCTAGCAGTCTGCTTGGTTGGTTGAGGTGAAGAATTAATAGGCAGGTCCAGACGAGGGAGGGGGGATGACGAGCCAATGATGGTCTGGGCAGCTGAAGGATGAAGGAGGGTGAGAAGGAAGCCCAGGAAAAGGAGAGACATGGGAGCCATGATCTGCCTTTGAGTGGTGAGCAGTGACTGGTCCCTCTGCCTGTGCGTCACACCATCCTTCCACTGTGCTTCTGTTGACAGAAAAAAAGGGTATTTTTTTACATTTTACAAAATAAAACAAACAACACAAGCACAGACACAAAACACACTGCGGCTGTGTACATATAAATACATAAAATTCACTACTATTTAAAATGTACTGAAATAGTGTAAAGCTTTGAATTTGTTGTCATGTCTCATTTGAGGAGTGCATGTTGTAGCATTGCTATGCTGATTCAGAGGGCAGGTCAATGACGCTCCCACAAGGTGTTAGCAGCATGACACCAGCGAACGCAGGGCGTGGTAAGGTGTATGGTTTCAGAATACATGGCACATATACCGACACAAACAGGCACTCACAAAGGCAAAAGTTCAGCTTAGTTATATAACAAGTTGCACCAGCAAATTGATCAAGCCAAAAAAATAACCCAAAAGGAGTCATAGATGGTTTTCATTCTGCGGCAGATGGACATTCATTTTTTTCTCCTCGCTATCTCTGCCATAAAATGATCTTTGGATGAATATGAGTTTCTTTCTGCTCCAAAGCCTTTGTTTTTTTTTGTTCCATGCTGCAGGACTTTACTCCCTTTTCTGCCAGTTCTGTTTGAGTCACAGATGCCAGGAGCTGACAGCTGTAACGCAGAGTGTGGTGAAGCTCAGAGAGCCCAGTGACACAGAGAAACCCCCCCCCGGCCCTCGAGGATTACACAATCCTACGAGTCATCTAACTAAACAGCTGCCAGTTGCATCCCCTCAACGTACACTTCTTATCAAAAAAAACACCCCTTTCATAAACCTCGCTTGTTTAAACCAGTCTCTACCTATGACTCATAGTGGGAGATAACCTTGGGGGAGTAGTCAGGACTATACTGAAACTTCAGCTGAAACATTAGGAGGAAAAGCACAGAAAATAGAAATCAGTGCCTATGGGAGAATTCATTCTGCTGCTTATGACTCACCTCAGGCCCATTCACGGCAGCAATGTCTAACTCTCTCTGAAAAATGACTGCAGCTGGCATATGCATTTTGTGCTCAGGAACATGTGTAAGATGTGTGTCATTCATGTGAGTATATGGAAAAAACGTGTTTAAGTATGTGTGTGTGCACAAGGGGTCGGTCACCAAGCAGGAAGTCAAAGAGCACACTGTTGGCATGTGAGAAAATGAACTGAATGCAATCTCAGCTTGCTCTAGAGCTCGTCTTGTTTCCCTGTTTACTAAGTGTTGGTAGTGTTACACAGGAGCAGCTGAGGAGAAAAACTGTCCATGAGTGGAGTAATATAAGTGGTAGTATATCTCAATCTCCACCCACTCACAGTAGCCTCAATGTTTATTTTCCTTCCTATCTCAGCCACCTCTTCTGCTCTCAGTCTAGTCGGCTGTTGGCCAATCTAACCTCTGATTAATCCCTGTTTTTCCCCCTTTCTTTCCTACCCCCCTGTCCCCTATTTAACTGGAGTTGTTTCAACACAGTCCAACAACATGTTAAGGTGAGGTCTGAAGATAGAGAGATAAGGTGGATATAAGAATGCGGAGATAAGAAATATGAGTATGCTGCCAGGAAGAATAGGCAGGAGGGGACAGAGAGAGATGGAAGGTTGAAGGAGGCATACTGATGGTAATGAGGATGACAGTGGTTGGTACTGCAAAGGGGGGGGAACTGAGAGGATCTGTGACAAAATTAAGAGATAGCTAGTTGATAGAAACTGACAGGAACTAGGAAGCAGAATATTTGAAGAAAAAAAGATGAAGAGTCACGAGGAAACTATGTTTCAGGATTAACAGGTTTGTTGTGGTCCAAGCACAGATATGGATGTCCAGGAAGGCATGCGGAGAAACTGAGTCTGCTTCACTTTTTCTCTGAGGTTAACTGGCAGGTGCACAGTCCCTGGCGGCCCGCGATAAACAACCTGACTATTGAGAAATGGCTTTTAGTAAACATACCACTATCTTGATCCAAAGTAATCCAGTATGCGTCAGTCTATGTTTATGTGTATGAAGGTATGGGGATTAATGAGTCTTAAAAAGCATCTGGCCAAATAGCTCTAGCGAGAAGAGAGAAACACTCTGCTGCTGCTGTATTTGAAACACTGTCAGCATTAATCTCATCTTCACACATGGATCATAGGCACAAATACACAGCCTCACACACACAGCAGTCGTTTCCCACAACGTTTTTCTTAAAGGGATTCAGACAAATTTACTACAAGTTGCCACTGAGCTAATACAAACGGAATAAATTTAGGCTGATTGGCATCTCCTCTAAGCAGTCTAAATTACAGGCCAGGAACAGGCGACCATGTGCGCTGTTGGATTTCATTTCTAACCAAACACTACAAAGAGTAGATCAGTGTAATCAGCTGGTTTGGTGTTTGGCTTGAATATGAATCTACATACTCTCAGCCCACCATCGCACATCCTTGTAAGCTACATCCCCTTCAACAGTGAGTAAAATAGAGACACACATTTACAAGAAAAAGACAAAATAGGTCCCTCTGTGACTGTCCGCGGGGAGGAGGCAGATGGGTGCACGGCCAGTCAGAGTATTTTTATCATGTTCAGCCCCTCGGGGCCGAGGGACACATCACTCTCTATTTAATTTGCAGTGGGGTGTGCATGTTGTGTAGATGTCGTCACTCTATGTCGCACAATACGTTCTTTATCCAAAGCAGGAAATGCCCATGGATAATATCCAATAGTACAGCAGCAAGCAGCAATCTGAAGATTACTATAAACTCCTTGCCCAAAGTATAGACCTGTTGGTTATACAATCACATGACTCAGTACAACAGCAGCTGTTACTAATCAGTTAATCGTTGCAATACTGATGTCATGTCTACACTAACGTATTAATGTGACTAGCTAATGTCAGTGCTTCACATAATGGACCAGGCAGAGGGAGTGGGGTGGGCAGTTTTTGGAGAATCTCCCTCTTTCTTGCAAATGTTCTCTCTCCTCTCTGCCAGATTCCAGACAGTCTGGCAGTGCACACTTTCCATTAATTTGAGTGAATATTTCCAGGGCCAGACATAAGTCTGTTTGTGCACAGGAGGATCTGTGTCTTTTTGACAAAAGCTGGTCTAATGTACACTTGTCTCAATCAGGGCTGGGTATCAAACCTCAGCGCTTTTTTGGTAATACGAGAAATGCACAACAGAGTATGGAAAACGGACTGAATGTCTTGTCAGAACTGTAATCTTGTTTACTTCTCTGATCCGATCAGTTCCTGATTGAAATCACAATTTTGCTAATTTTAGACTGTAATTTATTTAGGCAAAGGTCTTGTACAGCTGCTTGTGTTTAGACAACGTTTTAGAACTTCAGCAGCTGAAAAATAGAGTTTTGTAGAAAAACATGTTGATATTCCTCAAAGCAAGGTATAGAAATGAATACTGTTACTGAATACTGAACCTCAGCTATTACATCAGCACAAGCATTGGAACAAGACTAGTCTACAGTCATACTAGAGGACTGTATTGAGGCACAGTGGTCCTTTGAGCTAAATGCTATCGTCTGTATACTAACATCATCATAGTGACAATGTTAACATGCTGATATTTAGCAGGTTTATTGTTGACCACATTAGATTAGAGTGTTAGTATGTTAACAGTTGCTAATTAGCACAAAGTACGGCTGAGGCTAGTTGGAATGTTATTTGGTCAAAAAATAAAGTACTGGTCAAAATAAATGTAAATCTGGCTCTATATGCTATGTTTAGCAAATCATAGAATCCTTTTATTTCTGAGGTAAGGTATAAACTGTGCAAAACACTGCATGTTTCCTTTTCTCTCTAAAAGTGAAACTGCTGTCTTTGTGCCTTTATATCACGATTCATTTTTCATCTCACTGATTTGAATCTGCACATATCTGTTTTTCGATATATCTTTACATTCCTAGAGAATATATGTGGACACATGCCTGCACTGTGTGTCAGTGCATGAGATTACGAGACCATGTCTTTGACTGGGTGATTGATACCTGAGTTGACTTGTAGTGTCCAATGTCAAGGTGACTCTCTAATGAGCAGGATTTAACAGTCAAAGTCACGCATGACTGGAACGGCTCTGAGCTGAGAAGAAGAGCTTGTTAATGGGCAGTAGGGAAGCACATGTGTGGGATGGGAAAATAAAAAAAGATACAAATCTTTCAATATAAAAATAAAGACAAATTGGCAGTAAAACGGATTACAAAGCTAGAGAGGTACAGTGATGGGATTTCTGCAGTGACAGCAATAATGGACAGACACAGAAAGCAAAGAGAGGAATAGTAAAAATGGACAGAGGGAAAAAGAGAGGCAAAGACAGAGAAAGAGACTGGAATAAACCAGCAGAAAGCTGTGTGTCACAGTGGACTTCTGCACTGCAACGGTTCCTCAGTCAACCACAGCAGTTATGTATTACTTGCCATGCAGATGTGTAACGTGTTTGTACTGCGCTATGTGGAGGGAGAGGTGAGACTGTGCGGCAGTGTATGTACATGAATTTATGTGTACGTGAGACAGAGAGAAAAACAGAGAGAGGGGGAAATGGCAGAGGGAGTATGTGTGGTTGACTTGGTATGTGGGGTAGAGGGGGGAGGTCGCTGGTTTGACCGTTATAAATTCCACACCTTGAAAAACATATAGATCGCAAACAGATCCCACAATATTCCCCTTGTTATTTCAATTATAGCTACCACATTAAATTGTATTAAAATAATAATCAAACAGGCAATTAACTATTCAGTTTGATTAATACATAAGGAGATATATGAGCTCTTCGCATGCATTATAGATTCTCCAGGAGGTTTTCCAGGTGAGGTCACTCAACTTCTAGACATCTGCCTTGGACTAAAAGCTGTCCATTTACCACCTAAGACAAACCAATGCCTGTTAAAGATGCCTCTCTCCTGGCGCTGTGGGGGGGGGTCAAAACTCCAGTGGAGCAACAGACCACACAGCGAGGTCAAGCCATACGAAAAGAGGAGGCTCCAGAACCAATCGCGGCTGCTTTTGATCCCCAGCTGAAGAGGATGTCCATCTTAAAAGTGCTGACAACAACATCTTTGACTGATGTTCCGCCTTAATGCAAGCCACAGATCAAAGGCTGAAGGTCAGCCCAAAAGGGTGGGGCACTTTAACTGCACTGTGATCCCCCCCCCACACACACACACACACACACACACACAACTTGACAGACACAGCCCTCTGCACTTGGGGTAAAACACAGGCCGCGAATATTGACGTGTGATTGGTGATCATTGTGAGAAACCAGAGTTTACATTGTCTACACAGATTCAGTGAATAATTATGAACTGAGTGTATCCAGAACTCCAAATTAGCATTCATACATTCCCAGAAACACACCCTGAGAGATAGTAATGGTGGTGACTGATTGAGGCAGCTGCTAAACCACGTCAAGCCACAAAACACTTTCAGGAGAATAGATTACAGGCATCGCAAGTCGTAACTGTTTGCCTGCATCGGGGAGTTAACCACAGCTCCAGTTCAACCCAAGACTCTCACATTGTTCCAGCTGGATGCAATAAAGTGACTGCTGTGTTAAGTGGTGTGTGGCAATCACTAGATGATGATGCAAACAGGTTTTATATGTATGAAAAGAAAGTTGTGTCTTCGGTGCATATTTACAACTTTATAAAAATGTAATAATTCATTTACTGGACTACTTGGGCTATTAACAGCCAAAATGATCCAGCGCCATAAAAGAGCTCAGGAACAGATGATGTCTGTGCGTAGTGTTGTGGGGTTGTGCCTCATTGATATACTGATGTCTTGATTTATGCTCTATTTTCCACTATGCTGACAGTTCAGGACTGTCTGTTCTGGAAAGTGTGTTATGTCTGCACCGAGGTATTATTTAACTGTGCTGCCAGTTGAAAAGTGTCTGGCTTCAAAATATGGGTGAATTATAACTTTATTTTTTACAAGCTAAGCCATTAAAGTAAGCCATTTATAGGCTTCTCAATACTGAGGCATGTAGTCATGGATCATCTTCTGTCCTCTTACACCCTTTTACTTTCAAAACCCGATTCCTCCGTGAATACACAAAACAGCCAGTACTAAATCTCTCTTGAGCTGCTTTACAATTGGAGTGGCTTTTTTTCTCTTGTCAGTGGATCAGGGTGTGCTATTTGTCTTTTGAATCTAAGTCGTCTGGCAGGGTTCTGCGTTTCATCCAGTAGCACTTTGGAGCAGCTCCGCCTGTGCGCTCTCAGTGAGAGGCGCATTGGCGCGGTTTTTCCCACTTTATGACTTCTCTCTCCGCTGGATGCGTTCAAATCCTGATGAGGAACAGGTGAATCCAGATCCTCTAAGAGCCACAGCCTCAACTTACACATTGAGGTTGAACAACCCTCGTAAAAGACACTGCAAACACACACATAACACATTTGCGCACCAGCAGGCAGTGGCACAAATTGAGAAATAGTACCCCACTTGTTGCAGTTTCCCCAAAGCGCACACTGGTTATTTCCACTTTCTGGACAGGCAAGCCTTCTCATTTCCTGGGATATTTGAGCATTAGGGATTTGCAATGCAAATTAATAAAACACGGTGAGCTGGTGAAGCCTGAAATGGGATGGGTCACACAAACTAGGACCATTTTTTAAACTAAGTGATGGGATAGTTACAGTTAGTCCACCTTTTACGTAAAATGCGACTTAATAAATGAACAATAAAGCACATAGCCTCTATGTGTCTTTATAAGCGGATCCTCATGGGCAACGTTGCCACTGAAATGTGTGGTTATTAAGTAGCCCATCCATAAGCAGCTATTTGCAACCTAGTAGCTTAAATAAAATGGTGCCCGTGTAAACTTTGCTACAGTGAAGGTCTTCGGGTAGTTATTCTGGATTCAGAAACTATAAAATTCAACAGAGGGGCGATTTAACGTGACTCTTGTCCACCTGCAGCCGTAATTCACCGCCGGTCACGAAACGCAGTAAAGGCGTCACAGTGTACGTTACCATCTTAACTGCAGGAAGACGCCTTCAAAAACGACCAAATGTGTCCTGCCCACACAAGCAAGAAACCACGTAGGCTACAGGTAAAAATAACAAATAGATAAAAATGTTAAGCTACGACAAACCCCTCCTCTAGTGTGTAAAATGAGCGTTAGCTATAGACTGGAAAACCTGAACCGACGACTGACATGGCGCGCACAGGTAAAAAAAGGTAACGTCACTGCGCAAAGTACCGCCGCATAGCAACCACTCCACTATCAGGGTCCATCTGCGACCACCGTGAACATACCTGCAGGGTCTGTGCAGCTCCTCTCCGATGGCGTCCTCTGCGGCAGGATATGAGGACTATCACATATTACAGAGTTAGCCAAAGGAGGAGTGTAGTCCGGTGGAGTCCGGCGCGTTGTTAGCCTCTGGGTGTTATACGGCCCCGCGGGTGGAGGTGGAAACGTCCCTCTATCGACACACATACACACACACACACAACAGTACGGAGAGGTTGCGTTCAGCAGAGCTTGTACCGCTGCCAGCTCTCTCGCCATGAGCTAGTAAGGAGATTGTACGCCCCCTCCAACCGCTCCATCTCTCTCCACATCGCTCCCTCCCTCTCCCATTCTCTCTCTCTCTCTCTCTCTCTCTCTCTCTCTCTCTCTCTCTCTCCTCACAAGCGGATAAACACGACTGCCCGCAAACCTTACAGCCTGGCACGTCTGTTACGCAACAGCAGTTTCAGATTGAGTACCGTTGTCATTTCATCCATTTATTTCTTTCTTTCTTTAAAGAGAGCAGCATGTTTAGGCAGTGGAAATATGACGACACTGGCATTGACATCATCACACAGCGTGCGGTGCTACTATCCAGGTTCTGGGTCCCCCCCCACTCTCACATTATAGCTGAAAATAAGGTGCCATGTGCGCCAAGCTGGGTTGTTAAAGCTGGCCGTGGTGGTGTGAAAGGAGTGTCATGTGGAGACAGGTGAGGAGGCACCTGACATTTCTGGCACAGTGGTGCGGCAGCAGCAGCGATGGGGTGGGGGGGGGGACAATAAACCGGGAACAGAGCTGTGAAACTCTAGCCCTCCTCTCTCCTCTACTGCCCTCCAACCAGGGTTTGCCAGCCTGAGCCAAGATGATACTGTTTCCTCCTGCTGCACCTTGGCTCGGTGCCTTCCCCGCCTATGATTGTCTCTGTCTTACGCAAACACAACACTCTAGTTTGGACATGCCGTTGAGACTTTGAGGTTTGCCCATATGTAGACATAAGTTGACATAAGAGCAGTAACTATATGGAAGTGTCTCAGTCTGGCTACCAGCAGTATAACCATTTTATTCTGTATATTTAGCTATTTCTCACTTTCATTAGTCCTCACGGTACAGTTGAGTCCTAAAATAACCTGTGCAGCTCAGAGGATTGTCCTAATGCCATTACATTACTACTGAGCCAGCAGGAGAGACACTGAAGGGTTTGGACAGGAGGAACAGGGACACTCTGAGATGGTAATCACATTGTTGCACATGGATTATGACTAATATTCCATAAGTGAAGGATAGAAGAATCGGGAATAGATTATGTAAAGTTCTCGCAAGAGATGTCATGTAGCTACTTTATATTATTAGCACGTGTAGGCATTATGTGTGTGTTTGCATGTGTGTGTGTACAAGACACCTTATAAACCCCTGGGTGCAGTGTTTATCATATAATTTGTTATCCAGTTATGTGCTGCTGTAATACCATTACCGTAATCCTGTGTACCAGAGGGGGTTCTGATTCATCTGACCTCCTCAAACAATATAAAGAGGCCCAGAGGAGCCTTTCTTCTTGCACATGTGCCCTCTTCTCTTGTCTAAATGCTTAACGTGCGTTGTTTGAACTAAGGGTGAGTTCAGCAGGGTTTGAATTTTGGTGGGCTCATGTCACTTCACTGAATAAAATTAGACCTTTCTTTCAACATGAATGCCCTGACATGAGGCGACTTCCTCCTCCTGTCCCAGTTTTCAACAGTGTGCCAAATTAGTCTTAAGACAAGTGCTCAAACCCAGAGTTTTGTCAAGCAGTTTATAGTAAGTGGCTGCACACGATGACACAGAGAAGCTTCACCAAGTGTGGTCCTGCTCCTCAAGTGTAAACATACATTTTTCATCAGATTTTTTAAGATTTATAACTATCCCATTGGCTATCTCTGTCCTGAGCTAGTGAAAAACAAAATCTCTCATTTTTAATTAAACAATTTTCATTTTCCTTATAACCATACATAAAATAACCCAAGTGGTATATGTTTACACATCCCACTAATCTTAAATTGAAGCAGGTCACCCCAGTAACTTACACATATATCCCCTTTGACTGACAGCTCTTGATTCATATGGGGAGTTTTTAGCGGGCTTTAAATAAGGTGAGTATTTAAAGCTTGCCAAATGAACAAATTCTTAACAAGGAGGGAGTTCACAGCACTCACACTGACATACGCCAAATCCACACATGGAACTCGTGCTACCCCACACCCATTTATATACACTGTGGATAGTGTTTCTATACCATCTTTGTCCAGGAATGTGGTGAATACATTCCACTTAGTCATTTGAATTGATCCTAGTAGGGGCTCTGAAACTTAACTCTGGAGCAGACGGAACTGTTTCTTTCTCCCAATCTATAAGGCATTGAACCTTAATCACAGCCAGCCAAGTGGGGATCTTATCAGATGGTAGAAAGTATTAATTTTCTCCACAAAATAAGCCTCTTTCATTAAGAACAGCCAAGACCTTCATATGTTAACGTCCATCCACACACATGTGAATCAAAAAAGCTTAAGATCTATAATACCTCTGCCAGCTCTGTGCTCTCAGTCTTTCTCTGTGTGGCTTTCCCCTCACCCTATGGTTGTCTAGACACCAAAGAATAATCTCCCCAACTCTGGGCCCCAAAGACAGACTTCCATGTGAGGACTGCCTTCCCCGTCTCTCAGGCTCCCCCACGGCTGCTTCCAAAAGCATTGGGTTTCACCACATCTATGGTGAATCAACAATATTCCCTTTAAATTTTATCCATCTTAGGTATTATATCAGATACAGTTATATAATACATCTGTTACTATTCAGGAATAATAACATCTATCATTTTAAGTACGAGACAACGCGTGGATATGCATAGAGACCATTTTTGGGCTCACAGGGGAAGAGAAACCTACACAAAGACTGGGTATGAAAAAAAAAGATAATAATAATTATTATTTTTAATAAAGTGAATCTCTTTCACAAATATAGTTTTAACTTGAATGGCAACATGATCATATTGTGAAAAAATATCAGGTTGTCAATCACCAGAAATTTACATATTTAACTGTCCATTTTGTTTTTTATTACTATTATTATTACCAATGTCTTACTTAACTGTTTATTACATACCTGCTAACATACATTCCTATATTTTACATACTTGTAAATAACTGTTTGTACAAACAATGCAATTCAATACAATTGGATTATCTGTCTATCCTTCATAATTTCTGCATCATTGTAATTGTAATTCACTGGATTAGCCAAAGAAAAAAAAAACTCAGTGTGGTTGTTTAATCTATAACATGTGTTTCTAATGAGGAGACCAACAAATAATGATGCAGAAAATGTACACTATCTGGTTATACTGTATTTCTATATGTCTATAAAGTTCAGTATACAGGGATTTGGGGTTTTGATCCACTCAAATGGCACACATATACTTGACAATTAGTCCCCCACATCTCTCTGACAGGGCCACCATAACACCACCTTTCACATCATGTCAATCAGACAAATTCAATCTTGCTGCTGCACATCTGGAAATAGAGGTCTTTACCTTTTGCTGGAGCTCCGAACAAAACTGCCGCCCCCTGGTGCCTGCAGAAAGTAATGATGTCCTCTTAAGAGAAAGTACACACCAGAGATGTCTGTTCAACTGAACACTTCCCGAGGCCATCACACAAGCTGAGACCAATCTCTTACGTAACCAACAAGCCACTTTTGTGTTGTTTTAGTCTTTGTGTGTCAACATGCGTGCACACATGGCATTTTCTTTCAAATCCATGCACCTCCAGCACACTTTAACCTCTCTGTATTTCATTTTTCCCTCCTGTTCTCTCAAGTCTATTTTTACTCTGCTTTTCTTCCTCACTGTGCCTCTGCCCTAAAGCTGGGCCCCAGCTTCTGTCCAGCTCAACTGGAGTGGGGATGAAAGCTGACTCACATATTCATTAACACGCATGGCTGCACAGACTAACCACAAATAAACAACATCTATGGATGTAAGACACGCACATATAGACACACACAGATGACGACATACATGATGCACCTGCCCGCTTACGCCAACGTGTCTTTCAAATTAGGGCAAGAAAGAGCTTTGGTAGCCATGCATGCTGTTGCCACATTTCAGAATGACTTATCCCCATATATTTTAAACAAATTAAAATATTGTTCAGTCATTGCCATACAGGGACAGAAATAGGTCAACAACCCCAGGAGACACATCCAAGATGTCAACAGAGAAAGTCACACGGCCCTTCAGAAGTGACAGCAGATAACTGCAGTCCCTGCTATAAAAAGACCAGCTGACACAGTCAACTAAGGCCTATAGATAAACATACAGACACCATGCCACCCAGTCAAACTGCTTTTTATGATCCAACAGGCAGACATACTATTTTGACGCAGGGAATGCACTGAAGAAATACAACACACCATTTTGGCATCCTATGACCTTTTCAGACATGCATGCAGATGCCATGACATGTTGGTACGTGGTGTAACAGTAACCACAGGGCTTCACAGAAAGCAATCACCCAGGGAAATAGTTACATTTATTCACAGATTAATAGAAAGAAAGCTGGCTAAAGCAAATGGTCCACTATGTGATATTATCTTGCAGAGTAATATCTTCCAATTCATACTGCCACCTAGGGGCATCTTCTGGCAACAGTTAGCAGAAGTGAAAGCCAATATGACAGTGATGGTTTCTGGGCTTGATGACTGTGCTAATATGCACATTTTCTCTCAAAATAAATACACAAAAAATAGCATGTAAGTTATTTTGTCTTTATTATAAAAAGGAGAGTGTGCCAGTGGGCTGCACTTGTACAGTAGTAGTGAAGTCAGGAAAGTAGACATAGTAAACAACATGAAAATGTAAACAATAACCCTGAGAATCGTTTTACAATAATTTGTTTTATGTCTAGAAAATTCATCTTTTATTATTTCATTTATTCCAATAGATTTATTAAATGGCGCTGGCCAATGTTTGTGAAAAACGTGAGGCAATTTAATCTGATATAAGAAGTGTTTACTTCATATCACATTCACATTCTAAACAGACATCTTTGCTTTCTTGTGACATGCTGACTTAGTTTTCGTGTTCTTTGCAGTTGCATTTTCTTCTGTCTTAATTTTTGTTTTCTTGCACGATACCCTCATTTCTTCTTCATCCGTTTCCTCTTTCTTCGCCTGCTTCAGTTGTGGCATTTCTTTCAGCTTTTGGAACTTCTTGAGGTCAGCACAGAACAACACCTAAAACAGATAAAGACACTGTGGTTATAGCAGACAGACTGTCAGAGACAGACACTCACAGACAGATACTGAATGATAACACTCACCGATTGT